ATTGAACTGGATTTGTCCAATTGGTTAAATCTCCAACTCGCGTAACGCAGCATATAGCAACACTACTTGACCCTATATTCACCACCCAGACAGACCTTTTTTGTGACTGTGTTGTACTTAATAGAGATCCAGTATCTGATCACAAACTTGTCATATGAGTGACCTTAGGTTGAATATTATAAAGAGTAAGCATAAGATGGTGACTTTCAGGGTTTTGACGATGCAGCATTCCTCAATGATCACTCTAATTAATCTATTGATAATCTGCTTTTTACCCCTAATATTGATAGCAAGGTTGACCATCTAAGGGATATCCTAGTGAAATTATTCAATAATCATGCGCCGCTCAGAACTGTCCGCGTTTCTAAGCCTCCAGCACCGTGGCTGAATGATGAATTAAAAATAGCTATGAAAGGCAAAGCAAATGCGTTGACAAGATATAAGCGAGATAAGACAGCAATTAATTATGCAATATCGTTGCATTAGGAACAAGGTTCTTCTAAATATTCGAAAAGCAAAAAAAAATACTATTTGGGAATGCTTTCTGAGCAATCCTGAGTCGAGAAAGATTTGGTCAGGGTTAAAGAAAATTAATATAAATCCTTGTAATAAATGTACTCTACCAGATGTCTGTTTACAGTGTCGATAATGTACCGGAAATGTATGTCAGTTTTATAAAAACAATATGCTGAATCCTTCTAATTCTTTTTGTTTAAGGATATTGAGTCCTCAAGAGATTTTTGATATCATAAAATGTTTAAAATCAGGTGCGAAAGGCATTGATACACTGTCGATGACTAGAATAAGATCAGTTTGCCAATAACATGTATCTTGCACAAAGTTAACACTTGCATTGAAAGGGGATTGTTTCACAAAGCCTGGAAAACTGCGTTGATTTTACCAACAGCAAAATACAATATACCAAATGATGTTTCTCACCTGAGATCCATAAGTTTGTTATCTGTGTTGCCAAATTTTTTTGAAAAATTAGTTCAGCTACCAGTAGCGTCGTATATTGAAGATAATGGCATCGTTCCTCTTAACCAGTCTGGATTTAGGAAATACCATAGCATAACTTCTGCGTTACTAAATCTGTGTGACAACATCATAAGAGCTTTGAACAGAAAAAAGATGTCGCACTTGATATCAATTGGCTACTCCAAAGCTTTCGATAAAATTAATCACAAACTTTTACTTTCCATTGGGTTTGATGATATTGGTATTCAACTCTTTAAAAACTACCTCTCACAACGTATACAATGTGTTTCTGTGGACAAAAGGCTGTCAGAAATTAGGATTATATCTTCAGGAGTCCATCAGAGCTCCATACTAGGCCCTGTGTTATTTCTTATCTACACGTTAGATTTGCACAAATATTGCTATTTTGCTCTGACGCGAGGAGAAGGGACATGGAAGTACATTTAAAGTGCATCTTGATGGCTTGCTGCTGCAGCTTACAAATTCAGCTAAGATTGATTCTAGGTGTTGAAGTGGATACCAAATTGAGGTTCCGAGAACATGTTTTGACATTAACTGAAAAAACGTATGTCCGAATGAGAGCGTTATATGCCAATCGCTACCTACTAAACTATAAACTGAGGAAAAAATTGTGTGAGTCCCTTGTTTTGTCAAGTCTGACCTTTTGTGATATTTTATACTATCCGTGCTTAGATCAGCGTGTGAAGAGCAGACTGCAAATTATTCTAAATAATTGCATTCACTTTATTCATGGGCTGAAGAGATTTGATCATGTTAGCAATACATACCGCCAAATGAAATGGCTAAAAATTGATAAACCTATATAGTACAATTATTTAGTTTTTTGCACAAGTTGATGGCAGCATCAAAACCTGTGTATCTGTGAAAACCTATTCCATCGCGAAGAATAAAATCGTTGGGCATTTTTCTGGTATTTTTTTTCCATTTTCCAATCCCCACAAAACACATACACTAACCCAACTCTACACCTTGGATGTGAACCAGCCGATTGATTTAGCTATCCTTTGTTTCACACACGCGTTTTGGGAGAAAGAGCTAGATGACTGCCCTCAAAGACGAAAGCTAAGTTAGGATAAATTGGAGTTAATACTAACCTAAATCGTTCCATCTCCAGCATAAGGCCCTAAAAACTAATTAGCTAGGGTCAGGTTTTACCAATAATTTATGTCTGATATCATAAAGTCAAAAATCACACGTTTCGCGGACAATAAGCCCCTCCCCCGTGCACCTCAAACTAAATCTTACCCACCCTTAATTGAACTATGACTTATATGACTGGTATTTCAAAAAGTTGCAATTATGGGGGAGTTTTGTGCTTGTTCTGTGGGAATTCCGTCTGGCTCATTGGACAACGCTAAATATGCCTGACCTATGCCAATAGAATATGCTGTGATGAAGGATAGCACGAGTGAGACTAAGAATACATACAGACTATTAGAGAGTTTTTGCAATCACTAATAACGCATAATTAAACGTTAACGTTCGCCTGTTTTGACAATCAGTCAATGATTCATTCGAGATGAATGTCAACTGAAGCTAAAATTAACATTTAACAATGAGATATTTGTGGTCAGCAATACAAGTTGATAACTCTAATGACGTATTAAAATAGAATTATTCCTAGAAGATATTGTGGACTGCTTTAGAACTTTAAGTAATATTAAGAAGCGTTACTATTAAGGCTCTATGCAGTTAGGGAAGTATCTTCGCATCTGCTCGGGAAAGTATTCTAATTCAGTTTTTTATTGCTTAATATTATTCAAAAAGTGTATCTGCATGTTGGGATTCCAGAAATTGCATCAAAAGTTGATAGTACAATTTTTCAAATGAAGTCTGAAAAAATGTCGCTCCAGTCAAAGTTTTTTAAGTATTTTGGTTTATTCTGGACAAAAAAATGCCCTTATAACTTATCTCTAGAGTAGATAGTTTTCAAGATATAAGTAAGTTTTTAATATTTGGGAAAGTGCAAACTATTCCATTTTCGACCCCGAACAACAATCTGAAAAACAAAAAAGTAATATTGCTAGAGCTCCTAAATATTCTTCAAACACCCATTAACAAAGCTCTAAAGCATTTAGGGGGTATTGGAATTGTAAGCCTTTTTTAATTGTTCATCAAGCGCTTGATGTGCTAATGGGGCGGCCGCCAGTCGAGGCTTACATATGCTGCGTGACAAAGATAAACACCTACGTATGTTTATCCGATTTTAATAATTTTCAGTGTCCCTTAATAGTAAAATGATCAAATTTTTTGCTTGATTCCTCAACTGACTACAGAATCTGGTTCAATAATGCTTTGAGGATCCACGATTTCTTATACACTCATTGACACGCCTGGGCATCGTGCTGATAAGGTGGTCGTTATCCTGTTGGGGTATCTTACTCCAGGCTACTGCAACTTCGTGAGTAAGAGTTGCTAAAGTCTGTGGAGGGTGTTGCAAATTCAAAAGCCTGCGACCTATCATGTCCCAGACATGTTCAATTGGAGATAGGTCAGGCGATCGTGGTGGCCAAGGTAAACGGTTGATGCGATGTTGATCCATGAAGTCTAAGGATGTTCTGGCAACATCCGGTCTGGCAGGGTCTTGCTGAAAAATCGGGTTTTGGATGGTGTTTAGGTATGGAATAAGATGAGGCTCCACTACTTCCTGACAGACAGAAGCGGGATTTGTCACTAAAAACCACCGGATTCCATTCCCGGTCCCGTAGAATTCTTTCTCTACACCAGAGCCGATGTTCAGCTGTGAGAGGTAGCACAAAATGTGGGCGGTAAGAAAAAAGGTCAAACTGTCGTTTTCGGCAATATACCCTACGCATACCAACCATCCTTCCATGCTCTTCAAACCAATGATTAGCGATGGCTCGAGTACTACTGAATCTGTCTCTCAGAACCAGAAGTATTAACCGGTTGTCGCTCTGTGGTCCCTCTGGGACGTCCAGATCCCCTCGCTCGCTGTCCTCGGCCTTCCTGAGTTCCTGTTGTTCATGGCAAGATACATTGATATGTGAAAAATTCTTGAATTCTAATAAACATATGTAGGTGTATACCTGTTTGTCACTCAGTGTAGAATAGCATCAGGCGGTCCCGCTTGACTAACAATTAAAAAACAAAAATGTACATATCACATATAAAGTGCTTTAGCATATTGTTAATGGGTGTTTTAAGGATAGTTAGGAATTTGGGCAACATCATAGTTTTCGTTTTTCGTTAATATGGACCTTTTTGTTCAGAATGACCCTATAACTTCGAGTGGAGCGGAAAAAATAATCTTTGGAATGTGTTTAACAACCTTACTAGAATATTTTACTTCTACTTCCTGGACCACTAGTGTACATGTACGAGTACCTGATTATCCCTATGTAAACGTAGTACCATCATAATTCGAATATTATTTTTTGATTGTGAGATACAAACAACACATTTGGGCGCATGGAAGATAAAGGCTCAGGGGATACAAATGCCTTACATTTTTTTTTGTAAGGAATATACTATCCTTGATAGGCAAAAATTGCATTTCCATTATAACTTATTTGACTTTTTTCTTAGTCTTATTTAAATGGGTCTTTAGTCAACTTTTCACAGGAAATTATTTTTTTAAGTAAAAAAAGTCATCTGCACTAAACGCTTCTCTATCGCATTTCCAAATTTATTGGGATCTCAAAATACAAGGTTTCATGGACCCCAAAATTTAACGCATTTTTTGCAAATAAGATTTTATTGCCCATATGGATGTGTCGCCTTTAGGAACATGGAAAGAACCATTGCCAAATATATTATCTAAGCGGCGGCGGTATAACATATAATAAGCCTTATGGAAAAGCTGCTACCATTAGAGAACTGATTCTCAACCACCTTATCAAAAAAAAAATCGAGCATTATGACATTCGAAGATCCATTCTATAAGTATTCAGTGTTAGGTTAAGCTATCCAGTATATAGATTAGGACACACTTTGGTAATTGCATTGAACCCATTTAATAAGATGCCTTTTTCCTTTTTCAGAACATACTAAAAAACTGTGGCGAATGGGCGTTCAACGCGTTTACGTTAGAAAACGTCACGGGCGGTCGGGCACTGCCTGTTCTTTGTGTTCATCTCTTCCATTGGTACGGATTGTTAGAATATTTCAAATTAGACGTCGTTCGAGTATGGAAGCTTTTTAGTAAGTATACATATATATTATTAATTTTTTTCTGGAACTCTGAATGACGTAACAATCCATCAACCTCGTTAAGCCCGTGGTTAAATACCAAAGTTCGGTAGTAGGGAGAAAGGATAAAATACTGTTGCAGATACGCAAATTCTTTTAACTGTGGCTCAAGGATAAGAATTACGGCATGATTTTGACTGGCACCTCAACCATTAAATAGTGTCAAGTGGGTTGACTGTACTTCTCACGCAACACTATCATCAGCTTATAAAAGATTACGTTCGGAACAAGTTAGTCCCTCCGAGCTAGCTTCAAACATGTATAAAAAAAATTAAATGGATTATGTCAGGCAATCAATCATAGTCCCCACTCATTTAGTAACGCTCACACTAGTTTCTTCCCTACCCCATCTGTGCTGGACCACACCAGTCAACCATGTCATAAGCGCCATACTATAACTCGAGATCGAGAATGCGGGCGATGTAGTCAGAAGCGCATAGAGTTCGGCGCATGAAGGTTGTCATCGAAAATATTTCTCCGAGTTTTAAGGGCAATCTAAGATGCGTGAAATATGTACTAAGGTACGTAAAATTATCGGTTTTGGAAGCGTATAAATATAGTGCCTCCCACAAAATGAGATATGCTCTCCCCACCCCCTTTGACCCTCGACCGCCGATTTTTAACCCCTATAAAAATATTTCTGAAAATGGTCTCGCTGAAACATTAAAAAACAAAATTTGGACAGTTTTTGATTTGTTCTTTTTTCCCCTTCGCTTAACCGCTCCTGGACCGATTTTCAAAAACTGAAAACCTTTTTTATCCTTAGTAGTTCTCTCATGTAACAATTTCGTCTCAATCCGAGCAGTACGTTCTAAGTTATAGACGGGCCAAGGACTAGCGGACCGACAGAAATGAGTGGCATGGTTTTTCGTGATGTTCATGTCATATTATAACATCCAAAAATCGATTTTTTGCGGTTACAATACTTCACCAGTAGGCGTGGGAAGTAAGAGTACCTGTTTTAAAGTCTATTGTTTCGGCAACAAAATTACCACGTTACCTCGTAGATGTCTTGGGGGTTAAACGTATATGCAGGCTATTGTGGTACTTAAATGAAAACTCTGCATTCCAAGTCGAATTCGTGGTTACGTAATCAACTTAATACCAGCAGCAATGCACTTTACCATTATCAACAGGAACTATGTGTTTGGTTAAAATTGTCCCAAAAACAGCCTATCTTCTACCTAGAATCAAACTTATTTACAGCAGGCTGACCGTAGGCAACTCTAGCTTAAAACTTATCTCCCTATTGACTAACTTCGATCTAAAAAACTGCATTTGAACTGGTTTATCGGGGCAGATAGTGTTGTAATAATCTATGATAATTTTACTATACTACAGGCGAAATAATTTTAACTACGATCATTGCAATATTTATATGTACGAGTATAATTAAACAAGATTCTTTTGTCAGTCCGACCAGAAGCAACCATGGACAGCTGTTCCGTGCTTCTTAGCTGCTCATCAGCATGGTTTAGGCTTGGTCTCTTATCTCTGGACGAACGAACGAAAGTATCACAATGATCCTCTATACCGAAGCTACGGTTTATCAGCAAGAGAAAGCGCAAAGCGCCATCTATCACACCAGAATCGACAATTGTGGATCGCGCATCGCTGCTATTAGTTGGAACTGTCAGGGATCTCAGTTCCACTTTAATGCCAGTGCCGCTAGATGGCTGGTGATTCTGGCTGAGAGTAGATGTGGTCTACTTGCCATCTTTTTCTGCTTGTTTAATCTGTTCAATCTTCAATAGGAGAGAAGAATGAGACTTGGAAAAATCTTATATGGAATAATCACGCAAAATTGTTAAGAGTACATATGTGATAATCCCAACTAATATTATAAATGAGAAAGTGTGGATGTTTGTTACTCAATCACGCCAAAATGGCTGAACGGATCTGGCTGGAATTTGGTACAAAAAAAAATATTATACTCTGGAATAGCACACATGCTGCATTTTATGCCAGAAATTCGCTTTGAAATATTTCATAAACTACTGCCCAAATGGCTTAATGGAATTTGACAGGAGGTGTCTCGCGGAAGCACTCAGTTGCTGGTTCGACCGAAATGAGTAAGTGTGCGTCCATACTGCATGCGAGTTGACTGAGACCTAGGCGGGCGCGATGAGAGACGACGTGAGGTGTCCGTCCACAGTGACACGCGAGCTCTTGTACTGGTTCGACGTATTATCAGAAGTTCCAAACTATGATGGACGACGATTTGATATTTTTACTAGAAAGTCAGATCCTGAAACAGATAAACAACTGTTGAATTTTTTCAGTTGTATAAAGAATTGAGATTATACCCTACCAACTTTTTAAAGTACACTCGAATGCCCATTTGACTACATCCTAAGTAAAATATCTGTGCTGGGGATGTTTACTTTGTCAAATAGGTGGTTTAAACAATTCAATATCGGCTTTTACGATACAATAATACTCATGCATACACCGAGCGACAACACCGAACTGGTTTGTTACCGCCGGCACCGCGCGTTAGGTCGCTTGTTGATTAGGCCCGTAGTGTGGCCAGAAAGCGCGGAACAGGAATGCTTGAAAACTACGCGCTCTGTCTCGCTAGGTCCCACCGCCCTAGGCTTCCGCCTCAGTCACTACACTATGGACGCAAAGGCGCGTTTCATAATGTTTGATATTTCGCGCCCGTCGTCGCCACTGCGCTATGCTCGCAATATGGATGCACACTAAGCCCGCTTTTATGCACGCGTTTTTTGTCGCCACGCGACAGGCGACAAAAAACGCGTGCATAAAAGCGGGCTAAGGGTCCACAAATAAAGTATTTGGATTTCGACAATCGTATTCTCAGCGTGATCGTTTTGGTTCAGAATTGTTTGGAGTTTTGTTTTAGGTACTACTCTATATTATTCCTGTATGATTTTTTGTCTAGAATTTTTGAATGCAGGAGGATTTCAGATTTTGGGACAGGTATAATTAAGGCTAGCTCCCATGGCTTAGGATGGTATCCTTTATATGAATAAAAAATTATTATGTTAGTGATATGAAAGTTATATGAAGACTTACTTTGATCATAGTTAGTGATGCAGTGTCAATTCCCTTAGAGAATAGGGAATAGTAAGTGTACAAATTTGTACGACTCTTTGTATTATGATTCAAACGTGAGGCTGGCAGACTGAAGGGAACATTTCCTTCAATCCAATGCAAGACGTATGTATGGCTATTCTTTACACTACTTCCATTCTATTTGAAAAATGAAATGCGGCTTTATGTTATTATTGATTGTGGTATGTTTGTTTGTTTTTTCTCTTTAAACGTATTTATTGTGCTCCAAAACATAAATAATCGCCATGTTGTGTGACTCGATAAAGGGCGACGAATTCACTAACAATTATGGGCATTATGAAATATCCAATTATATGCATGTTTGAGTGCAATGTTTATTTTGCCAATCCTGACCCTGCGTATTATGTAATCGCCTCGCTGCTATTGAAAACGAAAGTGTTAATAAAATTCAATTTGAAACGGTACGGTGTTTATATTTTTGGTAAACAGACTGTGAGAAAGTTCCTTTGAAAACAGGAAAAATTGTAATTTGTTATTTGACTATTAGGCAATATTTGTTTAGGATTGCAATGAAGATATGTATGTTATTAGCCCCACTACAACTACCTCGAGCGACTGCCGACACGGATTCACGCGTATCGTAGTATAAAGGAGTGAGTGCATAATAGAAATGTCATAATTTACACAACTAAAAGTTTCTAGTCAATAGAACGTTTGTCAGTCTGTCGGACTGGTCATCCAGAAACCAGACAAAGTCAAAGGAAAAAGAAAAGAGAAAATAGAAAGACAGAAAGGAGAAAAACAAAGAAATATAAGTACAGCTCTTAAAAGTGAGTTAGCATTAACTGACTGGAATACTTTAGTAGCTATCCTAAAAGTAATTTAGGGGGCGGTGTTTCATAAAGGTGTGATTGTGGTAGCCTAAAATGTACCTAAGTATTTGCTCCATTGACTCTCGCAACAACGGGTTGCAATGCGATTTCGCTTGTTCGTATCGTCACCGGGCCTGATAGGCAATGTAGTCTCCCAAGTAAGAGATGTGAAGGTCTCTAAGTAGTGTCTCATTTGAGACATACCATGGGGCACCTTTCGGACTTTAATGTTTCCTAGAAGCTCTGCTGCTGCTCACATCATTGGCTTCAAAATATCTCGTAACAGATCTTACAATTTCTCGCTCCTTGATGATGTCATTATCCACATCATAATTCGTTAAAAACTGATTATCCATGGCATGAGCAAAACGCCCAACTTTAACCTCGGTCGTGAACACTAGTAAAGGAGTAGATGGTGACAATGGCGGTAATCTGGAAAACTAGAAGCAGATAGTGCTAGTTAGGCTGGAGGACATGTCTAAGGTTATAACCAGTCAAATATGTCAATTACGGGTCAGCTGTTAATGTCAATATACGTCAAAACGTGTGAAGTCTTGAAAATTTGCGTTTCTATCAAATCTGTCTGTTTTGACATCCTACCACACAATCGCTGCCTAGTCCATGTGATTGTTTTTCAAATATGCAATGAACAAGTTTACCACTTTTTCTTATTAGCTCAAATGAGAGTTTAAGAAAAATGAAACAAAATGGTGAAAAAATTATTAATTTATCTCTAAAAACAAAATAGTTACAGCCCATCAAACTTGCGCCCCGCGAGAATATTTTTATTCCGGCTGTACGTTACGTGTGACGTCACACTTCAGACTTCAGTATCCAGTTGCAACGCTCGCGACCGATTCCTGGGCCCGAGCCGACTCAATCTCCTAAACACATGCATAGGCACACATACAGTGGGACACATGGTAGGGTAAACGTCCTCCGCCCCAATTTGTGTAATTAGTTGACTGCATATATGATCGGTTATGAACGAAATAAGGAACAACAATTACAACCCCTAATAAACATTTTTTCTACGTACCTTCACATGCGGCGTCCATAATGGTAACTTACGCAGTACTCAGTAGTTATCAAATGGAAACCACGTGTCCGAGCGCACAGGTATGCCTTATGAATTGTCTATAGTCTAATGACTAAACGCACAGACGCTGTCGAACACCTACGCGACGAGACGCTGGGCACTAGAGAAGTGTGACGTCAGACGCGAACGAACGGCAGCTTTGATTTCGCGCTATAATGCGCCAAATTTAAGTATCAATTCCTCTGTCATTTATTGGCAGATTCCAATAATTTTTTCACTGGCTGATTATATTTAGTCTATATTTTGCTGGTATATCATTTCTTATGCGATTCTGAATATCACGAAACTTCTATATTATATTCTATAAAGCCAAGCTAAAGTTGATATACTCATAAAACACTCACATTCATAATTTGGAGTATCTTTTTCAAGGCAAACCAAAAAACCTGAGAAGGAAGCAAAAATATAAATGGCATGCGTAAAAAGTTGCATGTGCGTTGATTCTTGATGCCTGCACTTCACTATCGGCGATGATCGTGTAATCATTCGTAATAGGCACGATCATCGTGCAAACATCCACACGAGCGTCCGTAGTAGTTTGTCACGGCAAGCATCAATGGAGTGTGTTGAAAAACCGACTATTCACTGGCCAAAGGCGGTCATAGACGATGATCGGCGAGTATAGCTGAGTATGCCGTCTTCACGATCGTGCTCGCCCCTAATCGTTTGTAATTGCCTATTGTGAAGAGGAGCCTTTACATGCATTATGGGTAATTTCTGCCTATTGGCAATCTGAACGATGTGTACACTTGGTTTAAATACGGCTTACGTCCGATGTTTAATAGGACTACACTCTAGGGTGTGCGTTCATGGGCATTTATATTTCATGTACATAATTCGAATATGTTTGTTCAAATTTTTTGCTACGCTGAATGGCGTTATAGTTTTCACTTTTTTGTGCTTTTCCTAAGATTCTTTGTTTATGATTTTCGAGTTTAGTATTTGAGCTCAATGGCTATATTAATAATATCACTACCACTCACAGAAATTTCAATTGAAAATAACACCATGTTTTGTAATAAAAGAATAAAAGAAATAAAAGGTCTGTCGTAATGAAGTTTTTATATATCTTATTAATGTTGGTGAGTTGCAATGAAAAGGTGATGCTCATGATATCTGTTATAATTATAAATACAACAATTTAGAATCGAAAAATATACTTTTTTCAAATAGCTCGAAATCGGAAAAGTCCATTTCTGCAATGTCTCTGTGAAAAGGAATTACATTTCTACTCTTTTTACACATAAACAACATATTAAACCGTTCAGAGATCGTAGTATTATAGTCATTACTATATTTTGATGCATTTTGGAACGTTGTAGTATTTTTGAATTGCCTTTTTTATTTTCATATTTTTTATTAGGCAGCAGCGGTGGCCGCAGTGGTAGACGCTTCGTCTCCTGATCAGTGCGCTGCGAGGGTTCGAATCCCGTCCCAAGAGAAATTTTTCTCTTGGCTATGGATGTTGTGACTGTCCGTAGGTGGTCGACGGTCTCTCACTTTCGTACGCGGAGGTACCCCTCGGCGGATCTCGTAGGCGGAGGCAGAATGTGTGCATGATGCACGGTACCCCATGGGTGTTTAGGCGTTAGGCCTTCGTGGTAGCTGGAATATAAAAAAAAACTGGGTCACTTTGGAAATGTTGAGAATGTCACATATGCGTAAAAACTTGCTTATTGCTGCATTAGGGAAAGTCTCGACTTTAATTTGGGTTCAGTGGAAGGAAGCGACTCTATCCGAAACTCTGCCTTTAAGCGACAAGTTATTTAGAATTGTGTTGGTCCACTTTGTAGCTTCAATTTTTCTTTACAATAAAATTAATTTATCAATATTCTCATTTCAGCTCTCATAGAGGAAGGTTACCACAGTACGAATCCCTACCATAATTCCATTCATGCGACTGACGTTACTCAAGCGATGCACTGTTTTCTACAGGAAGAAAAGGTAATAATAGTGAAAAATCTACAAAAGAAAACTTCAAGAGATCTGTGTCAAATTAGCACCCCTGAATCCAGTATCCCGATTTTTCAATAGGTTTTGATCTCTAATGTGATAATTACTGGGCTCTCAATTGAGTCCAGTAATAGTTTCATGACAAAATCCAGCATTCAAAAAACCTAAGGCGGTTCGCATTCCTTTCTTCCAATACAGATAAATATAGTTCTTATGGACCTTATAGGGTCTCGAAATTGACTGATTAATCAAACAGAACTACTATTACTTCTACTACTACTACTACTTACTACTCAACAAAATGGGCATGCCAATTTATCATTCCTTACTGCAGACCATTGAGGAATCTAGAAACCTCCAAATTCATCCAAAAATCAAATATGCTGCATTTTGGGGTGCTTACTTAACAAGGGCATGAAAGTGAATATTCACGTGAATGTTGGTTTATATTTTATTACAGATTATGCTATGCTAATGTTAATTTTCTCATTTTTTACAGATCAGGCAGTATGTCACACCGTTAGAAATTATGGCATCTTTAATTGGTGCCGTCGCACACGATTTAGATCATCCTGGTGTTAATCAGCATTTTCTCATTTCGACTTCGAATCATCTTGCTATTTTGTATCAAGTAAGTATTCTTGATTTGGTTGCTTTAGAAAGCATTGACAGATTTAGTCACGAAATTTATTTGAATCATCAAAATGGTAAACAAAGTCTAAAGCTCCAAAGCATTGGATAAATATGGAAAAAACAGGTTATTCAGGACTCTTTACTATGAGGACGCCTTATTCGCCTGGACCGTGATGACTCTTGGCAGTGACAGGACAGTTGTCAAATATCTTCCTCAAGGAAAAAGTTTGCCCTTTTTTATTTGAAGTTCCGTTATTGACTTGTGTAGGATACGAAAGAGATAATATGATAATAGAAATATAACGATAAACGTGAAAACATCTCATCTTAGAGGATTTCTAAGTACCGCCCCGTACCATTTCATTTTTACTACATGGGCAGTACGTAAACAATTCGATATGGGCGACAATGTCAGGGTAATATTAAAGTCACTTACTTGGTGACGAAACGACAATGAGTTATCCTCCTTTGGCAAGCGATAAGGGCGATATGATCGGATTGTCGGGGCCATCGCCTATTTTTAGAAAAAGACTTATGAGTAGCTCCCGTATTCAACTGACTCATGACATCACATGCACAAATCTACTTTTTACCATTACATTAATGTACCCCAACTACTATTACGGATTCGTCATCGACTGAATCACGGGATCGTCACACAGACTAATCCTGACCGTCACACAGACTGATCATTAAGTCGTCACACAGACTGACTAGGAGTTGTCACACAGACTAACTCTAACTCTTTGGTCGCTAGGTGTATGGTCAGACGTGCTGAGTTTAACGATTGTTACAGTAAAGACAGTCCAGGAACCGGGAGATCACGCTGGCCAAGGGCCGTTGTGTCAATACCCCAAAGCTCCGACGTTACCCCTGAATCAGAGGTAACCGAGCAATATGACTATCATTAAGCGATCTCCTCCACGCAATAATTGAACTGCATTGCCACCCGCGCCCATATCTTTAAGAAAGTTTATCCTGGGAACAAGTACCCAGAGAAGCAATGGAATGTATAATACTCGTATAAATAGACGTAAGCAGCCTTGTGAACCTTCTGGAAAGATTTTGTGTGCTACAGGGTTGAACTCGCATGCAAAAATGTGTTTGAGATATTTCGTAAGCTTACACTTGCATATAATAGTTAAGCTCGGAGTTTCCTCATTTCGCTTTCCTCCTTAGTGGTTATAACAAAGACAGGATTATCAATTTTTGAGAAATTCAGATCTGGAAAATAGGTTATCAGTCGTGTGAATGTTTTTTCTATAGACTAGAAACCAAAATGAGTAGTTCGGTATGTTCCTTAAGGAACACAGTCATATAAGGAAACCCTGAAGCTAAGGAATACGGAGACAGTTCGAAAAAGACTGCCCCGTAGGACAGCGTTTCTCAATCAACCTTTCACCATTCGCGTATATTGTAATTTGCGTCTTAATTGCAGTTCACGGTATTGATATATATATATATATATACAGGGTGGCGCATCGAAAACGAAACAGACGCATTAACACGTGCAGCCCCCAGGGCGGGGGTGACAGCAACCCTAAAATCTTAAATGGAAAGGGGGGTCGAGTGATACCTTATTTTAAAGGTCTTTCAATTCCCTGTATAATGATGTAAAATACATGAGCTTCAGTTTAGTAGTTTTGAAGATTTGTTGATTTAAAGCTTAAAGTAGACTTTAATAGGTACATCAGATTAGTTTGTACTACTTTCAGAAGAAATTTGACTAAAAGAATTTACTTAATAAGTAAATGCTTTTCTTCACTACGCCCCTGGTTTGTTTGGAGCGTTTTTTGTGGCAAAAAAGTTATTTCTTGAAGAAAGTTAAGGAAATATCTCGTACTTAATAGGAATTTAGTACATAGTTTGCGATTGATTTGACCAAACTTTGTTGCTATAATAACTTGTAACGCTTTATTACATAAATTAACCATGGTATATTCCACAGCAGAAAGAGTTGAAATTATCGAAATATTTTTCGGAAATAATCAGTGCGCTAATAGAATAGCAGAAATATTTAATGAGCGACATGAGACCAGTAACGTGCATCGAAAATATGTTCTAGAACTTGTAGCTAAATTTCGGGAAACTGGGTCAGTCGCCAATAAAAAACTCAACATTGAAAATTCCATAAGGAACGAAGCAATAGAAGTGGGGCTTTTAGGGCAAGTTTATGTAGATCCTACGTTAAGTACCCGCAAATTGGAGACTGTGTGTGGTGTTAGTCGATGTACTGTCCAACGGATTCTAAAGGCCCATAGTTTTCATCCGTATAAAATTCACCTGGTACAAGAACTTAATGAAGACGATTTTGATCGGCGATTACAATTTTGTGAAGATATGAGTGAACAAATTATAAACGATGAACATCTTCTATTCAACACTTGCTTTTCCGACGAATGTTCCTTTTTCTTGGCGTAGTAAATCGTCGTAACTGCCGATATTGCTCCGATTCTAATCCCAGAATTTATCATGAAGTTCATACACAGCAGCCACAAAAATTAAATGTTTGGGCCGGTATTTTTGGCAATCATTTAGTTGGTCCTTTTTTCTTACCTGGAAATTTGACCGGTGAAATGGAATTGGAATTACTGGAAGACGCCATAGATCCTGCATTAACAGCCATAATTGAAAATCAGAATGATCGGCGGTACATTGCGAATAGGTTGATGTTCCAACAGGATGGTGCCCCACCACATTACGCATTACGTGTTCGACAATATTTAGATCAGACGTTTCCAGATCGATGGATTGGTAGAAGAGGTGCCATTGAATGGCCCCCAAGATCGCCAAATATATCACCTTTGGATTTCTTTATGTGGGGTAATTTAAAAAGCAAAATCTATGCTACTCAGCCAACATCATTAGAAGACCTGCGACAAAGAATTGTGAATGAGTGCCCTCAAATTACTCCTCAAATATTGCAAAATGTGCGGCAACGTTTTGAGCAAAATCTTTATTATTGCATGGAGAGTCATGGTGGCCATTTTCAACATTTACTTGCCTAACGGATCAATTCATTCTTCATTTTTAAATTATTTTGCTGTCGAATGTATTGATCTCCACTAATGATGATGTATTAGTTTTATTTAAGCTTTAAATCAATAAATCTTCAAAACTACTGAACTAAAGTACATTAATTTTATATCATTATAAAAGGAATTGAAAGACCTTTAAAATAAGGTATCACTCGACCTCCATTTCCATTTAAGATTTTGGGGGTGGTGTCACCTCCGCTTAGGGGGCTGCACGTGCTAACGTGATTTTTTGCCAAACTTGTGTCCCCCTCGAAAACATAATCAACGGATCTGAGCGTTTTTCAAAATAAAAACTGACTTGCCTAAATAAATGCGTCTGTTTCATTTTCGATGCGCCACCTATTTATATATATATATATAACTTGAGACGTGGTCATTGTCGTCTAGACCAGTTAGGTGAAAAATTAAAGCTTCCGCCTTTTGTTGGGTACTTCGACAAAATTTAAGCAAAGAGGACTCTTTATACTTTTTTTAATTCTCTCTAGCTTTCAATGGACTTTGCCATCATCATCAGGAGAGTAGTATGTGAGGATGTTGCTAATTGTTGTTTACGTATAGGATGAGGGAAACGTCCAGTAACATGGTGAGAGCTGGATAGATGGTACAATATTTTATATAATTTTGACCATTGTACCATCTATCCAGCTCTCACCATGTTACTGGACGTTTCCCTCATCCTATACGTAAACAACAATTAGCAACAACCTCACAGTACATTTAAATCAAAAGTTAAATGAAAGTGGGCGTAAGGGAGCATTCGATACTAGTGAAGCATCAACAAGTGCACAGGCGAGGTAGGTTCCAAAAATAAAATCAATAAAATATTCTGAAGAATACGTAAAATTTTGGGTTTAAATGTACGGAAGTCAATGAAGAAGAGAGGCCTCTGTATATCATTTGCTCAAAAACTTTATCAGCAGATAGTAAGAAACCTAATAAACTTAAACGACATTTGGTAACGCTTCATAGTGAGTACGTTAACAAACCCCGAGAATTCCTCGAGTTAAAATTAAAATCATACGAAAAGCAGACATCATTTTTAAAAAAAACTTTGACTCTGAATGAAAAAGCTTTACTTGCCTCTTATAAAGTTTCATATGAAATAGCCAGATGTAAGAAGCCTCAGACTACTGGTGAAAAGCTGCCATTAAAATTGTAGAAACTGTTTGGAGATAATTTTGCTCAAAGCAACAACACTCGCAATATTTGCTATCTTAAATGATTATATAATCGAAGCAAACATAGAATGGAAGAATTGCGTCGGAATATGCACCGATGGGGCTCGTTCAATATCCGGAGGATTTGAAAGTATACAAGCCTTGTAAAACAAAAATCTGCACAGTGCATCTGGACACATTGCATGATTCGCAGAGAAGCTCTGATTGTCAAACGAATATTTCCTGGCCTGAATATGCTAGCTACGGTTGTAACAGTAGTAGTAAAAATGAGACCTTTGAAAACTAGAATCTTTTTTGCACTTTGTAAAGATATGGGTGACGTACATTCAGCATTACTATTCTATTGCGAGGCAAGATGGTTATCACATGGGAAATGTTTACAACGTGTTTTTGAATTAAGACATGAAATCGCTGTTCTTCTAGAAGAAGAAAACAGACGGGAAGCCGAGATGTTTCGAGATGGTTTATTTCTGATGAATTTGATCTACTTGGTCGACATATTCGAGAAACTAAATGTCTTGAACCTTCAGCTCCAAGGAGCTAATACGCATCTATTGGATACGAGTGATAAAGTTCACGCTTTTGGTAGAAAATTGGAATTGTTGGGCAGAAATTTAAAGCAAAAAAACCTGGAAATGTTTGCAAATGTGGATGTATTAAAACTTACAAGGTTGTCGAACAACACATGAAAGTTGTTTTCATAACCATTGAAAATCATTTAGCGATTCTGACAAATTTAAAAAAATATTATCTTGCCGACGACAGATTAATACTTAGTTACGAGTGGATTAATAATCCGTTTCAAATTACTCGCGAAGGGCTCTCAACTGCCGAAGAAGAAATCTTCATAGACTTGACGACCAATGCCGAAATCAAAAACAGTTTAATAATAGATCCCTCTTTGAATTTTGGGTAGGCGTGAACGATGAGTTTTCGGCACTGAAAACCAGAGCGTTTCGTATACTACTACAATTTTCAACCTCCTACATTTGCGAAACAGGATTTTCGGCGGTGGCTGCTTTAAATACGAAATATAGATCGCAGCTAAATATAGAAAAAGAACTCGGGAGTGTCTATTTAAAATATTAAACCTTGTTTCGACAAGCTTTGCTTGCAGGCAGAAGTCACTAGTAATTATTATTATATTTTACAATTGATATTATTAATTTAATTTTTAATTTAGTATTGATAAATACAGTCCTGTTTATAAGTGTACCTACTACATCAGGATTAATGTGATTTTTTTATTGTCAGAATTTTGATTTTCTTTCCTTTTAGTAAATTATTCAATGTTGTTAGTGTTTTTTTCTGATATGCTCGCGCCCCACAGGTTAAGAAACGCTGCTCTAGGAAGATACTTGACAACTGTCCTGCCGCTTCTACACACATACAACAGGTTTCTTAATACAGAAATTTGTTTTCTGTTTTAGAATATGTCAGTGTTAGAAAACCACCATTGGCGGTCGGCAATCGGCTGTCTATTAGAAAGCGGAGTTGCTGAGCAACTGCAACCGTACAGGGGAGAACTAGAGAATCAAATTAGGGACTTGATCCTAGCGACCGATATCAACAGGCAACCGGAATTCTTGTCGAGGTTCAGGGTAAGACGCTAAAACATTTTGGTTTCTCGAGAAATCGGTGTTATAAATAAGAATATAGACTAGTAATATAGCTTTCATTCGATCGACCACATCAGTCTTAGTATGGACCGCTGTTTGGTGCTATTTGGCAACTCTTCAGCATGGTCTAGGCTTCGTCTCAGGTATGACAACGCACGAAAGCTGAGCACCTATCCTATAAGGTCTGAGACAGCACACAGAGCCATGTATTACCAGTAAGCTGGGTGTCCTACTCGTAGATAGTGATCCATTGCTCAAAAAGTTGACATAAGACTGCTCTGAAAATTTGGGTTTATACTCCTAGTATAGGTAACCGATGGGAGCAATTCCGCTAAAATATTTTTGAAATGGTGGCACTGCTGGTAGTATATTCCGAATTTGAATAACAAATAGTGCGGAGAAGAAAATTAGATTTTAGAAAACACTAAAATTCAATTTTTTCAAATGGAAACCACCTTTTGTGTAAGAGGCTGTCTACTTCATAAATAAGTAATTTGCGAGGTATTTGGAAATATAAACAAACCTTAAGTCTATGTATGTCTCAGCTTTTAAAGGAAGTTACAGAAGATTTCTATTAGATAACATGTAGTGTTTACTTTATATTGTTCTTTTCCTTTTTATATTTCAAATGTTTTTTTTTGTTAATTCTGCCTAAAATTATTTGACATTTTCCGTTAAATTATATTTTTATATAATCTCTTTATATAGGTACATATTTTTTACGCTTGCATTTATTATTTATTAGTCATTAATATTGACTATTAACTAAATATGATTTGGTTAATAACTCCTCTGTTGTAATTTTATTTGTTGGGCTAGTACTTTGATCAGCTTATCTGTTTACTAGTCCCTTTTGCAGGGAATTCATGTTGTTTCTTCATTTTTAATTTTTCCTCTTTGTATTTTTTGCTCTGCAAATAAACGCGATTATTATTTTTATTATGATTATTATTGGTTATTATCTTGCTTAAATGCTCCATACCGTTTTTACTATAAGATCAGTTGGTCATGACACGGCGGCAGCGCGATACCCTTAGTAGTTCGCATAATTTCCACCATGGTCTACTCAGATTGTTTGGTTGTTTAAGATTTATTTAGCATGATTGCTACAATTACATTCTTCTAAAAAACTAAACAATTACATAACATACAGATATTTAGAAAAAAAACAACATTTGCATCTCTAAGAATTTTACTGTCGATTAAATAATCCTGTAATTTTCTTCTAAATATCTTTAAATTACAGTAGTAGTAGACTTTATATCATTATTTACTTTATTAAATTCAAGTAGTACTTTCTGAAATATTGATTTGCTAGTTATATTACTATTGCAATTTTCCAATTGAAAATCTATATTTCCTCCTGTATAATAATTGTGGTAATAATTCTATGTAGTGTTCTAAATGTTGTGGCAAGAGATATTTTATTTTAAATATAAAAATAAGAACCAAATATGATAGGAATTTTTTTATATTCAACCACTGCAATTCTTGTAACATAGACTTTATTTTGGTGTACTTATTTTTATTCAATATTATTCTCATTGCTTTATTTTGAGAATATTGCTTCAATGGCAGTAAACAAGATAGTTGAACAATATAGTAAATGCGGTAGAATAATTGTATTATAAACTTTCTATTACTACTATTTTCTTGGAATATGTACCAAGACTATGAAAAGCCTTATAAAAGTATTTTTTTGGGCAAGTTTTGAAATAATGTATTTATTCATAGTGATCCTCAAAATTTAGTTTAGTATCAATATATATATATATATATTCCTAAATATTTAACTGATTCAACATTTTCAATTATATCACCATTTGTCCTCACTGTGATAGTATTATAGATTATCTCATGGTAAAAACTTTATAACGCATTTTAGTTATTGATGTTCCAACACTTCGATTTATCTCGAAAACCATTCATTCGGGGAGAGTACACAAGATTAACCTTATTTTTAATGCTTAATACGATGAAATTATAAAAAGGTGGTTTCTTTTTGGAATAAAATAACTTTTTGTGTTTTCTAATATCTAATTTTCAGTCTCCTTTCTTGACCATTCTGTACTATTTGTTGTCCAAATCCGGAATAAAATCTACTAAAGTAGGTTGCCTATTATAAAAAACCCGTTACAAATCATACGGCTAAGGTAAAAATACATGGATAAATGGTTATAATTCATGGGTTTGCAAAATTTGGGATACCTCAAGAACGGTTAGACATGGAATGTGTTTAGAAACTTGCGTAGAATCCAATAATTGAATAATGTACAGGGCGTTCTATTTAAAATAAGCAAACTTGAATCTACTTCCGGTAGAACAGGAAGTGCCACCATTTTGAGAATATTTTTATCGCTCCCATTAGTCATACTATAAATCCAAATTTCCATAACTCATACGTCAAAGATCTCTGCAGTTCTAGGTAGGACACCCTGTGTATATAAATGTTTAATTCATGAAGGTCGTTCATTTAAAATGTTTTCAAAGTAACTGTACTTCCGGTTATATTAAGTTTTGCATATGGAAATAAAACAACAGGGTAGGTAGTTTTAAATGACTTTATTGTTTTTTTAAGTATTCTCCACGAAGATTAATACACATCTGCATGCGCTCGAACCTATTTTCGAAGCACTTATTCCACTCGTTTGCTGGCAGATCCAAAACGGCATTTTTGAATGAGTCAACTGCTTCTTTTGGTGACTGGAACCTTTGACCACGCAGTCTGTTTTTAATTTTCGGGAAAGTAAAGAAATCGTTAGGACTTAGATCGGGACTATATGGAAGATGGTCCAATAATTCCTCGTTTTCTTCCGTTAAATACTGCCTTGTTTTCTGGGCTGTGTACGAGCTTGCATTGGCTTGGTGGAGGATGATTCTTCTTTCGGGGTTGATTTTTCGAAGATCGGTGATGACTTTTGGCAAACAAATTATTAAGAGGAATTGTTGCAATATGACCCGCTTTTGACACAAATGTCGCGACCATCTTTTTCGAAACACTTCGAGAACGGATGACTTTTGTTGGCTTTTCTTCACCTTGGAACACCCAAACAGCCGACTGTCGTTTATTTTCTGGTTCATAACAGTAAATCCACGATTCATCACCACTAACGGTCAAGCGTTTTTTGACACCAATTAACCCTCGCTGCTTTCTGCTCTTCAGTCAACAGGTGGGGTATCCAACGAGAAACTAATTTTCTTACTCCTAATTCTTCATGTAAAATTTTTTGAAATGTGGTCTTTGAGATCTTCAAGGACGCCTCAATCTCACGATATGTCACATGTCTATCTTCAATGATGAGTTTGCGCACAGCATCGACGTTTTCCTGGGTGACTGCCGTTTTTGGTGCACCCATCCTGGGATCGTCGCTAAGACTCACCCGTCCACGTTTGAATTGTCCATCCCAACGGGAAATTGTCGACTGATGCGGCGCTTCGTTGCCGAAAACAGACAGTAACTCAGCAAAACATTCTTGTTGCCATAATTGTCTCTGAAAGTTCTAATAAGTTATGGCGCGAAAATGTTCTCGGTTGAGTTCCATTTTTCTAATGACTTGGTGACACGTAAAACTTCACTGTAGTGAAAACACTGCACGTATTGTTGAGAAACTTTGAATTTAAGTTTACTAAAGAGTGACGTTAAGATTCAGTACTGACGTTCGATCCGCGCGGCCTACTATGTTTCTATATGCAAAACTTAAGACATCCCTCGTACCAGACGTAGACACCAACTTCTTCATCTTGAATAGAACTCCCTGTAATCAATTCTAAACACAATTTCTGTATAATATGCTGTGGCTTTCAAATTCAGAGATATATGTGATAACTCAGAAACAGTGACACTGTTCCGTTCATCAACATTTATCTAGAGAGATTCCTTTAGGTTTTAGTTCAAGTTTCAAATCGATAACGCGTTTGGTTCATGTTCGGTGTAGGTACTCTTCGAAAATAACTTTTGTGGCATAGTAAATAGGACTGACAGGGACACGCACCGTGTCGTGAAGCGATTTTTAGTAAAATCTGGCAAAAAAAGTATTCAGAAATTGAAGGTAATCTATGGAGACGAGCGCATGTCAGAAACGAAGTGTTCATAGGTCGTAGTCACCGAAAAAAATGAGAGATATTTTGGAAGGAAAAATGAGTGATTAAAAAACAAAAACTGGACAGTTTGGATGCTTTTCTATGATCAGGAATTCAAATGTCATGTCATTGATAATGAAAATGAACTTGCTTGCAAATGAAAATCGGATATCGAGTGGTAGGTGAGGCCTTAACTTGAACTCTTCTAAAAGCGAATGCTGGCGATTACACATTACATTATTAATTTATCAAATTGTTGTGTCTACAGGGTGTTAGGGAAGTAATATTCGTAACTTTAAGTGGTATTCGTTGCATTATTGTAAGCAAAAAAGTTCACTATAACTTATGTCCGAAAATCAATCGTTTTCGAGGAAAGTGAGTCGTAAATAATTAAATTTTCTCAAACATTTGGCAACGCTGCAACGCAACCGCGATACGAGCGGACGACGACCGCAACTGATTCATCGAATTGTTCACGTTTGTATGATATTTTTGTTGAAAATATGCCTTGAATTATTGAATACTTTTACACAATTTTTTGTGGCAAATATTTTTTATTTAATAACGCTTTCAGTACAGTACATTTACTTAAAAAAAATGACAGAACTTACCGATACCTGGCGATACACACCACCAATTCCCACGATTATCAGTCACTTATTTGAAACGATGCGATGCACAAAAAAAGAATAAAACTAACATCCGTAAATCGCATAAAGTTACAGTTAAATGTATTAGTAATCACAACATGCGATGATACATGTAGTGCAGGCGGAGTACGACGTTGACAGTAGCGTGAGGGATCTTGTTTGTCTGTTTTTCTTCGGAACATTGTATTTAATAAGCAAGAAAATTATTTTGTTGGAGACAGTTAATGTATAAATAGATGTATTGATACATTTTACACTATTAGGCATATGAATTTAAACTATCAAGGTGCAAAACTAATTTAATTAATGACTAAAAAGAAATAAGTTCAGCATTTTTTCCCTCCGAATCGGTTGATTTGCGGACATAGGTTATAATGACCGTTTTTGCTAGAATCACCTCTTAAAGTTACGAATATTATTTCCCTAACACCCTTTATAATAAGATCATACTCCTCAATAAGATGTTTCGGTTTCGGCCGAAACTAAACCTATACTGAATTGATGTATATTCCACAGAAGCATTTGAACGAAGGATCATTGGACCTGCGTCAGGCCGAGCACCGCCACTTCATCCTGCAGATAGCGCTGAAATGCGCGGACATCTCCAACCCGACTAGACCTTGGGATATCTCGCACAAATGGAGCTTGAAGGTGTGCGACGAATTCTTCAGGCAAGGCGAATACGAAAGAAAGCTCAACCTTCCCGTAACGTCCATCTGCGACCAGCAGTCCACTTCCGTGGCCAAAATCCAAGTTGGTAAGTGACGTTTCGCGATGTTAGTTAGGGTACCATTATTAGTGTTGTGTGAAGCATCCTCTAACGGTGACAGTGGTAACGAAATTATTGTTAACCCCAGGGTAATAATGTTTTTGCCAGGAAAATTGCAGAGGCAGCAAACCAATAGTCGTTTTAGTTACTACAGGTTATGTATGCAAGGTGAAATAAAATCTATGCAAAATCTGCAGAAAATTTAATAAGGTTTTTGAGTTTTTAGCAATTAAAGTTAAAAATTACGTTTTATTTCATAGTTTCGCTCACCCGTAGATTTTATGCTATCATCATGTAGCATTGATAGAGTTGAGAGCGAGCCTACAGCCATAACTGCTTTTGTTGAAAGCATTTGCCAACCTGTCAGTGATCGTGTCCAAGATCCCGCCACACAAATTCCGTTCATTCTGCTAAGCTATATAGATGGAATTCGCACGACCGGATCCTACTCAGTCACCGACAAGTCGCCGACCACTATACGAACAAACCTTCTATGAGATTCTGACATTTTAACTGCATATCCGAACCTCTGCCAATATTTTTTAAATCAAAATCCCGCTTTTCTTCTATGTAATGAGCTAATTCCATTCTGCAATACTAATTAAGAAAAGGGGGAATGTTAATATGCAATTTATTTTGAAATCTCACCACAAATAAATGCAGCAAAAAAATTAAAACTATTTTGGGAACATTCTGTTTTCTGATTCTCTCCGGAAGTACTTTGAAATTCGAAACTTTCTAAGCGGCATTTTGTTAATTACCTAAATACGTAACTTTGCCTTAAGCGATTTTATGTGTCCTCCTGTTTCCGAAATCCCAATGATGAGCGCCGAATTTGAAACTCCCTGTATATCTGTAGTATGTAATAGTAACGACCACAGGTTTGTGTATCTCTGCAACTGTCCCTAACTTGATATATTTTCCACTTTTCTAGTCTATTGCACTGATTTCCAATTCCGTTAATACAGAAAGACGTAAAATGAGGTTGCCTAGTTCCATGAATTCTTAATAAAAAGCTATGCAAAAACATCCTGCTCGGGCCATTAATTTCGTTACCAATGCACACATTCCTTTTTTAATATGCTCGTAAACTATATCAATAATTCTCGTCGAACAACTTCCAATATTTCTTTAAAATGTATATTCTCAGAACTATGTTGAACACTTCAACATAACTACTCAGAATATCACATAAAAACTAAATATTGTAAGTCCCATTGGATTTTACGATTTTTATTTTAACATTTTCATGAATTATTTATTTATTGGTTATTTATTATAACTTGTGTTTGTTTTGCAGCTTTTAATAAATATACTATATATCTTATTTTTACTGTTCTCTGGATGTAACTACTCAGGCCTTATTCCCAGCTGAAGCGATGTATTAGAGTCTGGTTCCTCGAACATTATTTTTTTTTATTTGGTCTCCACTCGGGCTACTCTATGAATATTTTCATTCTAAAATACTATCAAATCTTGTACTCTCAAAACTAATGACATATTTTGAAATGTTAAACCAAGTTTAATATACCTTCTAAACCTCACATCATGTTTCTGGACCTCATGACAAAACAAATTGTAGTTTGTAGTGCCTTATGTAATTAATTTCTTTTTGCTGTTCAACTCGGCTGATAGAAGCTAAATAAGTGTGAATTTGATAGCTACTATTGCATAATGAGAAAATAGTATAAATAAACTCGATCTACGTCCTACGACTCAAACCGTAGATGTATAATATATGTAGATTTTTTTGTTGTATTATGTAGTTTATAGCAAGCATGGGTATCAATGTTAAGTAAAGCTCGTAAAACAGATATTCAAGAAATACACCATTAAAACTAATATTACGGGTATTTCTTGAAAATCTAAGCATTTAAATGTGCCTGTTGCATAGTTAATGGAGATTTTTGTTAGTTGTGCTTGACTTTGGGAATAAACAAAATTCAAGGAATCATATTAATATTACGTTTATTGTGTATTGATGTTTAGGTTGAAAGAAAAATTTTGATGTGTTTTTGATAACAAAAATCACCATTAGACTATTCGCATCCAAGATACTTGTCTCGATAAACCTCTTACAATGAATGAATTTCTATCCCCTCTTCCCCTCTTATAACATTTAAGCATGATGCGTCTTCATTCTACAATACAGCATTACATCTATTTATCTCTCATGTTTATCCCATCCTTATACAATCAACAGATATTTTTATGTTGTTTATGTCAACATGATTTAATGTGATTTGAGACTTACCAATGAGTTGCAACCAACTACACTACTAGAAACCAAATAGCTTCATATTACTTGATAGTCCAGCACCTTCAACCTCTTAGCAACTTTAGTTACTGTGTAAAATACACTGTAAAAACTCTACTCTGAGTGGTTTGCATCCGGTCATGACTACTTCACAAACAAGGTTTACCAGAGGCAAAACTATACCATGCTTTGGTCAATAAAATAATTACAGATTCATATTTTAAGTTATAGTGTTTAAGTTCATCATAAAAAGGTGATCTAAAGTAAGATTGAATGCCAAAACAAACTCAAGGATTGCGAACTTCCATACAAATTCCTTATTGCAATTCATTCCACATATAAAAAATATCATTTTCATATATGGTTAACGTATTATTCAATTGAAAATAAGTCAAATAAATTTTAATTATAAAGTTTGGATTTTAATAAAGATATATAAACAAAATTTTGTTCTGAGAGTATATGTTTGTTCATTTTATTCTTATTCAGTGCAGATACCATAATTATACTCACCCAAAGATATATTTTTGAGAATATTTAAGCAAGATTTTGATTTGCTAATATGTTTTGGGTGTGTGTGTTAATTTACTATTTGTGGTTATCTAATTGTAGTAGACGTTGAGATCTTCCTATTTTTTTTCTATAAACATACAAAACAATAAAATTGAAACATAACTGAGAGAAGTCTGATGTCCTATTTTATTTGCTGCTTAATAGTGTTAGCAAAGTGATATATTATATGATTTAGGTTGACGCGGGATTTTGTTTATTTACCAAAGTGTGTGCTGGCGTCATACGAAAAACTTTGAAGTAGTAAATATGTACTGTCTATCAATTCATAGGATTGCATGCATGTACTTTTCATTTTTCTATCTGAAATTTTAAAATATTCTGAACTCTTTTAGATAAACTATTATTTCTTAAAACTGTCATAGTAACAAGCGAATAAGTAGTAGTTTAATTTCCCTTACATTTCTAAATTCTATTTTTGTAATTATTTTACGATTAAATAAATTGAGTGATTCATATCTCCGTTTCATCTGCTGTAGGTGGTAGCAATAGTTTCATATGTTTTTCTAAAGAATAATTTATTTTTTTAGTTTTATTCATTTTAGGACTTTAAAATATTTTATATATCAGCATTGATTTGATTAATAAACCTATGTTTTGGTGGACAGTACCAAAAATATCAACCAAGTTCAATCTCAGTAGATGTGGATATAGTGGAGTAGTCATACGCTTTAACACTGCTGTTCATATAAAGCTTTATTTTCAAAAGACAAAACTATATAAAAGCTGTTGTTCAACTGAAATGCACGGCCAAACTAAATTTCGTTAGATATTAGCCTACAAGCTATATTTCCTTTAACCATTTTTTACATGGAATGCCCAGTTTGGCACGTTACCAATTTATATTGTACATCACCGGCAAAAAATATTTTCCGTTTACCATTACCTCCTTGACCTGGCAAAAAGCCCCTTGCAATTCTACAGTTTGACTAATCCATGCTCACAGAATCCCGTGCATAAATATCTTTCAGACCCAACCAAGGGGTTATTAGCACTTATTTACAGCAATGAAGATAACAGTTTCACAAAAATTGATTGCGACAGTATTTGTGACTCGTGATTCCACGCACAATATCCTCTTATAATTTTTATTAATGTTGTCGACTAAGACCGGAATCCAACTCTGACTTTTTGCAATATTATGGTATCTGTGAAAACTACCAAGAAAAAAATGAAATTGGTAACCAACAAAAACAAAATGTATCAGAATACGGAGTTGATGTATATTCCTGTTCCAGTCAATTTAAATAAATGACTGGTCGTCTTATTCTTCGAAGCTTCTTTAAAAAAAATATTAGCTTCAGGATCACCACTACTGGCTATCTCATTCTAAAAAATCTGACCACATATTTTCGCATAAGTGAACCATATAATTATATGAAATTTAATTGTCATTATAATAGTCGTGAAGCATTAGTACTTAAGCTTTTTTAAGAAAGGGTCCATCCCTGAGTCATTGAAGAAAAGTATTATTTTGCTGCAAATGTCTTATGCATGAGCATTCAATTGATAAAAGTAGGATATACCCATTAAACATGGCAACCAAAATGTTGTATAGCTGGAAATAGTAAACGAAAAATTGTCTTTGTCGCCGGTAGTGTATAATATCACCCTACCCCTGTATTGATTTCGTAGATGAGATACCACCAAAAGAGTATCCCACGTCTTCCAAAATTCTGTGGACAAGTGTTAATGAGATAATAAGTCGATTAATTCAAACTCAGCAATCTGGATCGTGGTGGTTTGATTCCGGAACTACCAAATGTATCAAATGTAACTTTCAGAAGTTTTTATGCTTTTTTGAGAAATAATGTAGTGGAGTTCTTGTAACTAATAAATAGTTTGAGAGGAATAGTTTAAGAAACATAAAAATCGACCATGTTTTGGTGAGATATGGGAATAAATAATTAATGTAATGTTTAATAGTCTGTATCTCAGAATCAGAGTGCTTTATGATATAGGTAAGTAGACTCATCCGACTTATATTTATCTCGGCACCCGCTCTATGTCTGCATAATTTTGGAAACCTTATATTATCAAAGTAAAGTCCGTAGAAAGCGACTTTTAGCGACCATCAAAATACCGAATACCGAACCAGTTCCTGGTTTCTTCCAGACTCAACCAAATGTGATCAGCAGTCCACTTCTGTTGCCAAAACTCAAGTCGGTGAGTTGAATTTCTGTTTATTTGACTTACACCGCTCGCGTGGCCCACCCATATACAGCGTGATTCGGTCTATTTTGATGGTGTTTGTCAAACAGGTGTTGAGTACAGCGCTACGTGCATACTATAGGTAAAATTAAAACAAGCAGAAGCTACACCAGAAAATGTAACGTCTCCCTATTTCACGGAATTTTAGAACAGTGTCGTTGTATCTATGGCAAATATAAATAAAACAAATTTCTTCCTCAAAAATCGAATCTATCTAAGCCAGGATGAGCTGATGCTCTCAGAGTCATTCTAACTCTAGGCATACAGCCCAAATTTACCTAAACCTATGCAGCAGTCATTGACACTCTTGGATCCGTATTTAGCTTAAGATCATGCCGCTTGAACCTGTACCTATCTATTTTGACAATGATACTTAGTTTTTTCTGAGTGATACCTGATAGTAGAATCGGCTGCAATAGGATTGCCTATCCTCAGCCTGACCGAAATGCATTTGAATTCGAATATAGGTTTTCGGGTAAAACTTTTGTCCGACTTAATCACTTGGAATTTTTGTCTCGCAAGTGCTTTTTAATTGCTAAAATATTATGAAATTATTGGGGATAACTGGCGAACACGGCGACTAATCAACCAAATACAATGTAGGAAGTACAGCAACGTTTGTTCTTAAAAAGCGCTTAGCAATTTTTAGATCGGGTTACATTATACACCATTAATTCAAAAGTATGTTTTTTTTCAAATAAATTATATTTATATAAATTAAGAAAAGTTGCCTCAAGTCGGACTCACACCATTACACCATCTCGGAGTTCAATGAAGATTTTCGAAATTGCGTATGTAACAAAAATGCCAGTCAAAAGTCTCATCTTTATCTGCATTTTTCTGTGGAACGCCACCGCTTTCAAGCTAACAAATATGCATACGTTATAAATTGCATATTGTAATTAACCTTTATAAAATAAGCTAAGTTCGATGGAGATGGGCTCTCGACCTGATTGAATGTTTGTCCCATGCATAATGCAAATGAGCTGGCTGCTCTCTAAGAGTTCCATTCAAAACACGTATCTCTGTACGGACACTTCAAGGATTATCCTATTGAACAAAGCTGTCAAAATATATCGAAAATCCCTGCACAGTGTATGGCACTCCCTCTCAGAAAGAACACAAAGATTGTGCGTCACACACAAAATTGTAATCCTTTAAAACCTGTTAGTTAGCATCTGAAAAAGCACCACATTATATCACTTCACCTTCTATAGTGAAATCTGCTGTCCCTCTGTCGATTAGTGTTACCAAACACCTTTTGTATAGATGGGTTCTTGTAGTATGTTTACAGTAAAGAATGTCTTATTATAATACAATGGTAGACCGATGCGCGATTGATACCCCGATTGAGTTATACACTATAAATGAATGTTCAACCGAAAAAGAAAAAATACATAAATAAGGAACGGGTGCTGTACCCGTCGAGATCATATCCTATGGACCAATGGAACTAACTCATCGTACGTCACCCCTACACCTGCGCGAACCTCGTTAACAGTGAAGATAGCCAGTCATATAATTTATTCCGGCATCCAAAAGAGCATCTGAAAGACCACAGAGCCATCTACGTGGAGACAGTAACAGAACACAACGAATTTAGAAATCCACTTTGAAAGGAGAATGTTTGATTCTGCTACTGTTTCATAGATGGCGCTAAGACCTTCAATCCCTTCTTGGTGCCTCTCTAACAAATATTTTAATTGGGTATCTTCCGGTAGAATACGTTGATAACAGCCTGAAGGTACCCAATTAAAAGGAAGTCTCAACAGCTCGATGGTTAATGTTCCGGCCTAGCAACCCGGGGCTCGCGGGTTCGAATCTCCGCCTTGGATGTTTAATACGGAGCCATGGATGTTGTGTTGTGTGTTGTCTAATCATGCACGTGGGTGCAGTACTAACTATAGGTACATCTCATTGGTGGAACGGATTTATTGTATCAGTTATCAAGATGATCCTTGGAGTAGTACAGTGTTGATACTACTGAGTCGGCAAAAAGGGTCATAGGTGGCCTAGTTGACAGGGTTCACCTCCCCAGCAGTTCTTAATACTACCACTGCCTAATTATAATAGGTAGGCACTAGCGAGGCGCCAAAAAGGAATAGAAGATCCCAGCGCTATCTATGAGATAGTAGCAGAATCAAACGCTCTCTTTTCAAAGTAGATATTCAACTTGATTTTTGTGTTCTGCTACTCTCTCATATATGACTTTATGGTCTTTCAGATCCCTTTTCGGGCGCCTGAACACTATACATGATTGGCAATCTTCAAGTAGAATACTTCAATCAATTTTAGTATTTAACTATAGAATCTTAGTTTTTGTGAATTGTGACTCTAGTGAATAGTGGGTTGGAATCGTGTTTAATGTTTAACGAACGGTAAACTACAACTCGTATGACTTTGACTCTGGCGAAAAATCCAGGCTGCATTAGGTTTTTACAAGGCCGAAATGGTGTGAGTTATCAGTAACAAATAGCAGGGATTTTTCTTAGCATTCCGTTTCACAGGGTCAGAGTTAATACACCTTTTTCATCTATTAAATAAGTTTCCAAGATTTCACAACAGAGCTTCAAGAATTCCCTTCAAAAATTACCGAATCTTTGCCCTTCATTTTTCCAGTGTGTATCTCGGTATTTTGCAAGCAATACTTCGGTTTCACGTTTCATGAATTTGGTTCCGTGAAACTGGTTTCTCAAGTGTGCATCAACATCAATTTTTCAAATTGCCACAATATTCTATCCGCTCATTGACTGCATTAAACGTATTTCCGTCATTTTGATGTATTTTTTCTTACACACTGCACGAAGTTTGATCGGGGTAGAATAGTCGTCAAGCACTCGTCTACCTTACTTCCCTGCTAGACTCTTTCTCAAAATCCTTGAATTATTTTGATTCGTATACACATCTCTGGTATACACTATGGCCTGCATTTCGATGAAACCAAAGAAGCTTGGCAGTTATTGTTATAAAGTTGTAAAATGCAGACCACTCTGTATATTATTATAATGAATACAAGGAATGTTCTTACGCCTAGTTTTTTCAATATTACAGTGAGTTATAAAATGATTTCCTTGCGATTACATAAATAACAATAGATATGCAGAAAATTCAATTTTATGTACTAAAAAGTGTCCACTCACAAGTTATTATCTGCTGTAAGTACCTGTTTGTTAACGATACTACACACACAATTTTTGCCATTAGACTAAAAAATAGATATGTGAAAAAAATGGATATGATAATTTATAATTTAGACAATTTAAGTGGCAGAGGAAATTAGATAAGTAAAGACTCATTCCTAGCATTTTGACTGTCTCGAAAGCCTTCAAGGTACACATTTGTATGTAAAAATCAGTTTATATTCCAGATTGTACTTGATATCTTTTTAATTTACGCTTTGATAAACGCTGGCGTGACAGCCGAAGTAAAAGATTTATCCGCCAGAACGATACTGAGATCTGCGAGACAACCACCTAATATTTTTAATAGGTACAGAATTTGTATCCATTAACAAATATGGATGGGGTGTTCAAAGGTATATCTGACTACGAAGCAGTGTCCACAGGCCTGAGCCCCCTTCAAAAAATGTCAAAAACGAGTATTTTGGAAGGAAAAATGTTTGGAAGGTTGTCTGCGTTTATGCTAATGGTATAAAAGAAAATGCTCCATCTCTATGTTGCTGACAATTGAAAACATGGGCGCCCTCAAAGGGGTGCCAGGGGTGACCATGGCCTCCCCTGAGGATCCATTTGAACCTTAAAATGTGCATATTCGGCATGGTTATGTGTACAATTTTGGGAATTTCAGGATTTGACTACCCCCCACCCCCTGAGAGAATTTGCTGCTCCTGATCTTCAAAAAGTTTTAGGGCAGCTACACTTCCAATAAAGGTTATGTCGTGCCAATGATCGTCACCTCTGAAAAAAATTCCATCGGGCGCTAGTGATTGAAAATTGTAGCGCTGCGCTTCTGAAAGCGATTGCGGCAACTAAAAATTAAGATTGGGGAGGGGGATATGTTTAAACTACACTTCTGAAAATAAATGCCTTTGACACCAGAACCAATTTAAGTTTCGATATTATTTTTTAATTCGAGCAAAGATCAATGTAAACTACAATAAGATATTCTTAGTACATCAGTAAGTAAAATCAGTACAAAAACCAAGCTAAAAAAACTATCGACGCTGTTTAATACACATGTCATTTTCTTAGTTTAAAAATAATAGTACGTCTCCTTGAAAGACAAAAATTATTTGAAAAATATACATTTCAGTATATTCACAAACCATGCATTGTATTCAAGGCAGGTATAATTACTAACGAGCATCATCAAGAACAAGAGACATCTCACCAACAGGAATGGCAACAGACCATATGACATCGCATCACGTGCACTCATGTCCAGAAACATCCGATTCCCGATAACCAAAAAAACTAACTTAAAAAAGAAGGTGAAAATCCAAATAACTTGTTGTGTTTATGCAGGCTATCGGCTTTTTGCAATGTGCTTCACAATCCCAACAGATGAAGTATATCGTGATACTAGTTATATTTTGAGGTTCGGATGGCAAAATGAAGTAACGGGATATACGAGTTTGTCTATGTTACTATAGACCGAGTGCCATAATACACCTTACGCAACGAAAGTCATAATAAGAAGGTTGAAACAGCGACTGAATAAATATGTACCTATAACAAAACGCCAATCAGATTTCGTGTTGAGTAATTGTAACTCATAATTGGTCATTGAAATCATTTTTTATAAATCTGGAAATACTTCTTGAAAACGAATCTCGTAATCGAGCATTCCTTGTACTAGAGAAAATGTTTCCAAGTTCCAGTATATGGGTCTAAAGTATTTATTTTATATTGTCTAATCTTATGCTATGACAATGGGTATGAGTATCTATTTACTTGTTGGAGTAAAGTTGTATAGCGCCTTACGTTAATCCTGTAAATAAAAATTTGCCAGATACGATCTCGCTGCAAATAATATATGTATTGTAGTGTTTATCTCCCTCTTAATGTATCTGCTATATGTTTAGTATTTTTCAAGATGGCGATTGCTTATACTTACATGTTAATATATACAGGGTGGCCCATCCATGTGTGGACGGAATATTACTCATAACCAAATACAATCTGTTCGTGGCATGTTATACATGACATTTGAGGCCACATTTCTAAAATATTAGCAATTATACATGATGTCCCAATTTTGACCTACATATCAAAGTTGTGATTTTTTAAATGGAATGCCTCATTTTATTGCATATTTGGATAAACCAATTCAAAAGAAGAAGACTGATATTACATACTATGAGGTTTTGGCAAACCCCTCAATCCGCCACTTTGAATTTTTTATAAGCTTTTTTTGGCCTAAGGTTTGATTCAGATAAAATCACTAGATTTTTGCCATCAAATGTCATGTATAACATCCCATAAATAGATTTTCCCAAAATGTATTTGCTTATGAGTAATATTCCGTCCACGCATGGATTGGCCACCCTGTATATGGAAGACTTGTCTTTCGGATATCGACAAATTATGCTAAGTGAACCCTTTTAACTTACAATACTCAAGCTTTCGACAGACTATGTTACCATAAAAAACTGAACTTTTCAGCTATTTTTATTCTGCATCAGTCCTGGATTACCTACTTTATATACTTGGAAACTATTTCATCATCAAATGTAGGTACCTATTCTCAAAAATTCTTCTCTAATCGAATTACATTATAGCTTACATACAGAAGTCTTCCACTGAATATAAATTTTACATTTTTCTCTTGAATCCTATATCCCACATCCCCACAAATGACAGGTTAAACGCAAGTGATACGCCACTAACTAAACACTTCGTTGCATGCATTATTTCTTACTGTGATTCTATTTCTCAAGCAATCCAAGCATATGCGAACAGAAAAGTTTATAGGCTAATATTTCATTTTTCAATATATATTCAAAAATAGATTGTTCAAGTTTTCTTCAAGCTACCTATCACCGACAATGTTTTTTAACATATTTTATAAAAAACACTTTTTATCCTGCTTTCAGACTGGTGAAGGTCGAGATTAATGTAGGTCTCAGACTAAAACCTCCTTTTTGCGTTGGGTAGACATGTCAAGAACACAGCTGATTGCTTGTAAATATTGTACAATGTGCAGGAGTACGTTATATGGCCAAAGTAATGGAGCCTCTAAATTGACTAGATGTTACTGCATATATTGCTGTCAGATCGCTTGAACTATCAGAATCCTACCTAATTACAATTTTTTATCAAGTCATTCTCAACTGACATTGTAACTCTTTTGCTGAGAAATTCTGATAAGTATTTGTGTCTACATATTGCTGATAATGTTTCCATGATATAGCTGATGTATCTGAGATATACAGTATTTTTAATCCAAAATGAATTACATATTCAGGGGCTTAACGTGGAAAGGAAATGACGTATGTACCAAAAAGTTTTCTACATTGGCAAACGTGATAGCCACTACCAGTAGCCGTGTATATTTGTAGACATCAAATTGTTTGAGTTACCCTCTTGGTTCTCGAAAATGTATGTCCCCGTTGAGTCGGTACCCCTTCCACTCCCTTACACACATTAACAAGGATAAACACAAATACCTCAATGACTTCAGTACCCTTATGAGCTGCTTCCCAGTGATCCAGTTGAGTTATTCGGAGTAACTCAGTAGTACTCAACACATGTCAGTCTGCACGCACTTCAACTATTTACTGAAGCACCATTACTGGAAAGCAGCTCCATAGATACTAACATTTGGCCAATAGTAGTAGCACCATAAAAATCTCATTTACTGAAGCACATCTTCAAAATGTGAACAGGTTTCTTGAAGTTCATGGTGACGCCATTGTTCGTGGAGTGGCACCGTTTCCTGGGTAGTCCGCTTTCCACCCATATGATGGCGGTGCTGGAGGAGAATCGCAGAAGATGGGAGGAGCTAGAAAAGGCCGAACAAGCGGAAGAGACGCAGACGGAGCTGTCAGAAGCGGATGCTGCAGAAAGAGAAGAAGAGGAAAGACAGGAAGGAGCGGCAACAGGACCAGTAGGCACCGGACAGCCGACTGAGAGGGACTTCATGCCGTCTCCACCAAAGTGAGTTTGTCTATTTAGTGCCCATTTGGCTTCGAGCAGATGGACTTTGTACTTCTCACGCAACTCTGAACAAATGAACTGAATATGCATCACGTATCTGAGACAATTTTCGTACGCGCTGGTATCTTCAATATGTTCAGATAAAAATCCTTCTACCTCGACATAAGGGCCGTAGAGTAGTCTGAGTAACAATGGAAAGGGTATTGTTGATTTGAAAACAAAATGGAAATTAAGGAGCTTGAATAATATGCACCATATACAAGGTGTTCCGTTTTCAAATGGACATAGTGGAAAGGTAGGTAATATGGACCCATACGTTTTAATATCTAAAAATAAAGTATTGGATCAGTCTTTACGGATATACAGCGTGACTTATCTAAGGATGCCAAATCTTTAATATCCCATATCTCAGGCACTATTGAACCGATTTTGTTAAAATATTGCACGACAACAAAGTTTTTTAGGCGTAACGCAAAACTAGACGGACGACTAAAACAGCAGGACCGGGCTATATCTTTTTCAATTTTTGTTTTGTATCAAAATCAACATATTTTTAAGCTGAATACTAAAATATTTTGCTATGTACAAAAAAGCAAATGGACGGTACTTATTAATTAGAAAAATAGATTGATTGTGCTTATTTTGTTTTTTAAGTTAATTTATTTATGTATTCAAATATTGCAGGTACTATCAACTTGGTTTCATCAAAAATTCACAAAATAATGATCAAAATTGAACTAAAGATGTTTTAGGAACTCAAAATTTCAGGGTCGGATTTAGTTACTTATTCCCTTGTATCTTATATCGCCCTGTAAGTTTTGCTCTGAATTAGTTATTATTTCGCAAAAAGATCAGAGGAATACATGATGTGAATAAAAGTGAAATCATTGTTATGAGTTAAGTTAGTTAAATTTATACAAACGTAAGTCGAAGACTTTTTGACTTGTGAACCCGAAAATAAGAAAAGAAGTACTTTATGGACATGATATGTCAGACCAGAACCAGATTTTGCGACAAGGTTAAATCAAGGGAGGGCTAAGACATAAAAGCGTAAATATTTGCACGCAGTCACGAAATCTATTTACTTCGGTAATTTTTGTAATAATTTAATTGTTCCAACTGTTATTAAAAGAGAAAGGGGTTTCGATTAATTTTCGCACACGTAAAGATTAGACCTTATAGAGATGGACTCCAACATTTTATTGCGAAAGTAAAACTTAAGGGCTGGAAATATTGGATAAAAGTGACTATTGTTCTTAAGTTAAGGATAAAAATATGTGGTTTTTGATTTTTTGAGTAAATGTGGAGTAAAGAAATTTCGGAAATTATATCCCTGAAGAGTGATATCGGACTTAACACTCTTGAAGCTGAGCAACCTTGAATATTTCAAATTACGCCAGCCTAGTAGCAGAAGCATGTTTTCTCTATAATTTCATCTTCAAAATAAAAAATATTAACAAAGAATTCCAGAAATGCGATCTTTAAGATGGAGTTGAATATTCTTACGGTGAACATCATCACTTATTTTACAGAAACGTAAGTCCAAGACTATTTGACTTGTGAAGACGAAAATAAGAAGGGAAGTACTTTATGGACAGGATATGTCGACCAGAACCAGATTTTGCGACAAGGCTGAATCAAGGGAAGGCTAAGATATGAAAGCGAAAATATTTGCACTCATTAGTTACCAAATCTATTTGAAGTAAGGAACCTAATATAAAATTTAGCAGGAACGTAGCGTACAGACATGAAACGTCAGCTTAGAACAGATTATTTGACAGCGCTAGATTAAGGGCGGCTCAGAGCAGATATAAGTAAAAGCGAAATGATGCTCATTAAACACGATATTTCGGAAACAATTTGACCTATTAACATGAAATTGGGTAGAGAATTAGTTCATGAACAGGAAATTTCAGCTGAGAATAAACTTGATATGAGGGCTGGATTAAGGGTTGCTTCTAATTTGACCTTTGAATTTGAGATTTGGCAAAAGGGCAGCTTTATAAACAGGGCAAGTCAGGTAAGATTTTGCCACAGGGTAGGAGCCATTTACAGGTTTGTCCTTTTTCTTTATATTAGAAACCTATAACTTGGTAGCAAGGTTGTTTATTATGTCAGTTAATAACGAATTTTGCAGCAGGAACCGTATTAAGGGGTTTAAATGGTGCTGCCGAATTTGTTTCAGACTCTTTGGATTTTTCTCCTAGATACCTAAAATTGGCTATATTAAGGTTCTTTAAAGTAGATTGAACTAAGAATGGTAGAAAAGGGACTTAATGACTATCACAATTTTATACGTACCTTTTCTAACTAGAAAATCGATGGGTATTTTTACAATGTAAAATTTGGTCGCCGGTAATAGCTAGTTTGCATAAATGAAAATGTTTAATTAAAAAACCAGAGGCGAAAGAGGCGAAATCAATCTATTTTGTTAGTTAACTGATACCATTCATTGGGTTTTTTACATAGCCGGACATTCCAATATTCAACTAACAGGGTGTTGATTTTGATAAAAAACAAAAAGTGAATAAATCGAGCTTAGCCTTCGATTTTTTAACCGCTCATCTAGATTCACGTTTTTCTTAGGTGACTGTTGTCTTGCAAAGTTTCAACAAAATTGATTCAGTAGTACCTGAGATATGTGATGTGAAAACTGGCTATAGAACATTATTATCTTTAGATACTTGCTATGATTTCTCTATGTCCATTCAAGTACGGAACACCCTGTATACTATCTGAGTTAACTTTCGTACATCTCGGTATTTTCACTAGGTGGCTATGAAATATTTTCCACCTAACGTATGATGATGCAGTAGAATGAATATACCTGAAGACTATAATCGAGTATATACAATAATATCTGGACAACTTGCGTAGGTCCTAGAATTATTCCTGTTCGACAGTTATAAAAACCCTTATACACTTGTATAACGACCTGAGGTTTTGTGAGTTCACGTGAGGAAAACGTACTAAAAATAGATGAGCTAACAGATTCTTCATTCCTCAAAAATTCTCTATATTAGCAGAAGACGAATCTGAATATGTATTTCTATCCAATAAATGATATCGGACCTGTAGCGATTCTGTGTTTCTCTGTTTCGAAACTGACGGGTGTGCGTGGAGCAACCGCTGGTAAAGCAGAGAATTCGCGTGTTGCTGAGTAGCTGGTGATGCATAGAATCACTGGCATAAATGTAACGTATTTTACTGATACCAAAGATGGCATTTACAACCTCCTACAGTTCCCATAATTTTAACTTCTTAATAAATTCCTGAAAAGGAGCAGGCATCTCTGAAACATCAAAAAATGAAATTCAAGTAGATTTATTTTTTGTGTTATTCCCGCGTCACTGGATTGGTTTTTAAAACCTTCAAATCTTTGCCATCCTTGGCATAGTACTGAGCGTATGTCAAACTTTCATCAATATCCGAGGGATACTTAATACAGGGGCCAAGGGCTAGCGGACAGCCAGACAAACCGACACACATACACGAGTATAAGCGAAAACGTTAAACTGGAGAAAAACCTCTTGTAAGGTATACAATAACCATGTAGAACGAATAATTTGATATAAAGCGCCTCAATGTTTATACTCTCTCGAGAATATGCGAAGACGCTGATTTCGAAAGCAGTTTATTGACAATTTTTTTTACATGCTGATCTATATTTTTGAGGCCTCTCATGAAGATCATTATGAACAAAATAATTGTATGGGAATCATTTGGCTTCAAAAAAGAACCTGTAATTAGCAATTAAAAATAATGTTGTAAAATCAAATTATCTCAGACTTCGCGTTCCTGGTCTTATAGAGGCATATTTAAATTTTACAAAGCGTCACGTCGGCTCTTGTCCGTTTTTAATGGACGCTTCGACTGTCTTAAGCTGTTCACTGGGGTTCTGGTAGCATTTAAAGAGCCATTAAATAAATCGACTGGTTTCATAGATTGGCAACTACAACTATTGTGGTTCCAAAAAAGAAAAAGAATTATACTATTGTCTAAGAGAATCCTGAGAAAATAATCAAATTTATGATAGACAATCCGAAACATGAGTATTATGCGTAGCTGAGTGTGGAAAACGTGGGAAGAAATATAGTAAATCAGTGAACTATCTTCTTTGAATGTTTCACTTACCAGTATTTATGATTTTACCTAGATAGGTAATACAGAAACCAAATTGCTGTGGTTACTAATATTATACGGATGCCCAATAGTTATAATCAAATCACTGTTGTTTAGCGCTAACGTATGTCCTCTGTACGACGAATTGTTTTCATTCCATATATTATCTTCTTTAAATGTTTCAGGGAGATTAGAAGACAATCACTAGCTGTTCCAACGTTAGAGTCGTTAGGAGTGAGACGGCATTCAGTACCAGTTAATATTGAGCAATCACTGCCAAGAACCATATACAGGTAAACAGATAGTCAATAATAATAACTAAATCATCACAATTCTGCTAAGCAAAAGATTCAAAATTGTATATTTTCTAGATGCCTGGAACATTGGCAAAACCAGTAGACACGTAGATTTGCAAAGGTATACACGATTGATATTTTTTGGAGGAGGTTTTCGCAGTACATCGAATCATTACTAACGCTAAAATATTTTACTAATTATCCTTTTCTATTTGTGCAATCGAACATCATCCTAAGATCATCTATTATACCGAAATTGTACAAAAATTGACAAAATCGATGGGATCCACTTTATAAATTCTCAGGTGCCCTGCGAATAATCGCGTCATAATTCTGTGGAATTTAATATAACCCAAGAACTGTATTTTATTTTTGACTTATGTAATCGAGGATTTCTATATCAGTCACGAAACACGGATATTTAGACGTTGCCTTGTTGCTACTCCGTGGGTTTTTAGAAGGCAGTTATGAGTTTTCTATGCTGCTTGGAGTTCAACATCTCGAGGGCAGGTCATAGCACTTGAGGGAAGCTATGTTGGGGTTTAGCTGTCCAACCATACCATGCCAAATTCTGGATTAAGGGAGATATCGTATAAATAGAGGCACAGAGTTAATCGATTAGATTACCTTTCCCTTTGCCAATCATCCCACTTCTGATACAGAATCATCCATCACAGCCACGTGTTGTACTGAGCTTTAAACCATTTGAATTTTATGCTGATTGTTTTAGCTGTTTGACCTACAAATACGAATATCAACATGAGTTTTGTTTTGTTTAGACGTGAGAGCTTACCGACGGGTAGGGGTATGGCGTTCGCAAAATCGCCAGTCAGTCCGCAGACTGAATCGAGAGCTTCCAGCGGCCTTAGGGAGGAGGACGAACTTTTGCGGTTCGGCTCGCAATCATCGGACGTTTCTTCTAGCAGTCCACATCATTCTTCAGGTAAAGCTCAGTTCATTCTATTCATTTTTATTGATTTGCTCTTAAGATTATTATCTAGAAACAGTGGAAGGTTATTTTTTAGGAAGCATATCGTATTCCTTTGTTCAGTACGTTCACCACTCTTATAATAAATTCTTGCTTCTATACCCTGAATTTGATCCTGTCATAGCCCATATTAGATACCCAATATGCTCTAATGGTTCAAGTTTTATTAAACAACTCATATGAATGGCTTAAGAAGCAATATAATTTCAACATAATGTCTCATAAGTCTTGAAAAACACTTTCCTATATTTTTCAATTGAATTTTAATGTACTGACCCTAACGTTGCTGTCCATTTGCTGGACTAGCGTTAAAAAATTATTACACCGTGCGCTAGCCAACATTAGACAATCGTGTTACTTCCGAGATTGCACCAACGGAGGTCATTTCATAGCTTTTATGACCTAAGCTGTAAATTGTATACAATAGCTGGATAAAAAATATTAGGGATACATTAAGTCAAGTAGCTTGTTACTTTTATGAACTACTTGACTTGACGATTTTTTTATTGTTCCACTTGGCTCGAGGTCAGGCAGCTTGACTGCAAAATATATTTTAATTCTTCTAAATGGCTTCAGTGATATTTATGATGATCCATATTTTCTATCACCTAGAAGAAAAAACACACAAATAAAGAGTAATTCATATGATATGAAAAAGCCGGTCAGTTGCCACTTTCCTTATTTTTAATTTCATCTGAAACTTGTGACATATAAAGTATTTCCGTTTTGTATTTATATTACAAAAATTATCAAGTAATATCAAGACTACTTTACTTCTCAAGTACCTGCTTGACCGAGAGACGTAGAAACTACTTGACTTTGTATCAAATTGATAATATTCAATAATTGACTGGAGCTTGACTCAAGTCAAGTAGTGAATCCCTAAAAAACACCACAGTGCACTGTGAAGGTTCATGCTTATTGAAGGTAAGGGAAGCGAAACTCTTCCGTTACATATAATCAAATGATAGCCCACACAATGGAGCGCCGCGAAGGGAAGCGACGTGTTTCATTTGGCGCGTACAAATTGCAACTATCGGCGCGGTTCGATTGGCGTCGCCATGTCTCAAAGTGCGTGCACGTTTATGATGCAGTCAATAGAAATTGTCTCGAATACACTGGATTGAGACAAGAACCTATGCAAAATTAAACATTAGTTGTACACACAAATTTATTCTTGTTATGCTGAAACACCTCATCCTGCATTACTACATAAGAAAATTTGCTAGATTTAAAATATGCAAAAGTTGAAATGAAAATCCGCAGATGGTAAGACATGAGAGAATTGGATATACGCTTATAGTCAAATACTCTAGTGAGGCTTACTTTCTTACTTTACAATATCGTAATGGGAAGTTCAGATATTGAAACATGTTTCAATATTTGGAAAGGCAGAAATGTCGATCATTGTTCATACAAAATTACACAAAAATTGTCATATTTTATTATAACAAATGTAACGACTCACGTTAAAAAAGACTTTCACATTAATATTTCTGGCGTAGAAAATATACAGAGAGGCTTCTGAAATGAAGAACTATTTGTACTGAATAGGTTGGTACAAAGCGTTTGTATGAATATTAAATAGGAAGGTGCGTGATGCTCTTAAGGAAATTACAGCAAATATATGGAGCTTGTGTAGAACAGGCAGGTAGTTGAGCTTGTTTGTGGTAATGAACTACATGTAGATGATGCGACAAAAAAGGAATAAAAGTAGTACACCCTATAAATATGGTTTCAACGCAGGCTGGGTATATTTCACCGTAGTAACGTGGTTGATGACTGATGCTAGGTGTGAATAATACTTTTTGACACGATGCGTGACGTGGGCTATCCGACCGCGTAGTGCCGTAGTGCGTATTTTGCAATCGTCATTGTCAGATTTGCGATTTTCGCACACAATAGGGGTGCCGGGCGATTTGATCTAAACTAGAGCTTAAGGTAGCGCGATTGTCTGATATTCTGTAGATCTAGGAGCATGGTATAAACATTGACCGCTCAACTGCTTTTAAATTAAACATCTCCATTTTATTTTTTCATTCTCTGTGGCGCACCCATAGACGTTTTTTATTCGGCAGCAGAAGAAGGCCCTGGTGGGGATGACGAGCGCCCTCTGAGCGCTGAAAACCTGCTACCGGAACCGTCGATTGCGTCGATGACAGCAGAACAGACTGCCGTGTGTCGATTGGCGGAGGTCCTGCAGGGCACCAGCCCCACGGGGTCACTAGGGGTAGGAGGCGCAGGCGGACAGGTGAAGAGTCTCACCAGACAACAGACTTTCCCGCCACCTCAGCCCTACATCAGGATGAGATATATGTCTGCCACCGCCGAGATGAGTGCCTGCCGGGAGGTTGATCGGGAAGGTAAGGCAATGACCTTCAGGACGCTGTTGGTGAACCATGAAATAAATAGTGTAGAGCGTGAGAACCGTAGTCCAAGTTTGTATAGGAAAATCTTTATCATAGACATATATACATAACTAAATTCCATATACAATAACAGCACGATCTCAAGTGAATAATGAGCGGTTAATTTTGACGGAAGTAGGATAGTTCTTTTCACGATATCTACTAAATGAACCATGTGCTGAGCTGAAACCGATCTTAAACGCATATGCGTTTGCAGTCATGAATTGGTTAATAAAGGACCACTGCTTTCATTCACTGTCTCAAAATACCCAGATAAATTTAGCAAAAAATACCGATATTGTCCGTTCTTTTCACGATATCGACTAAATGAACCATGTGCTGAGCTGAAACAGATCTCAAACGCAAATGCTTTTACAGTCATGAATTTATTAATAAAGGACCATTGCTTTCATTCACTGTCTCAAAATACCCCGATAAATTTAGCAAAAAATACCTATATTGTCCGTTAGTTGTTTTATATCACAAAGATCAATAGGATGTATTAAATGTGATGCCGATAGTTTTAGTGTGATCCACCAGAAGCCGTGAAAAGGCTCTTCTATATTCATTGTCCATTCATTTTAATGCAAGGGATTTTTCAATGTCACTGTTGCAATCATTATTTATCGTAGAATCCGTAGCGAGAGTATAGTCTTTTAGACTTTCAATGTTACCGTTTGTTGTTGGTTAACGGCCGTTCTATCACCCCAATTTCAATGAAGACTGCTAATTTATTCGTTAAAACAAAAAGTAATATAAGAACTGCTTATATCTTAGAGAAACATGCCGACAAGTTCATTTCACATTAGTGAGTGAATCTCATCAACAATAGGGGGAACGTGACAGACTCTAGCGAGGGAACAAGTACATTTGACATGCACTCATTCTGGCCCCGTCTTTATAGATCCGCCGGGTGGTACATCCACGCTTGACAGTCTGAGACCGACCGAAGAAACATTCTATTGGGGCGGGATTCGAACCCGTGCAGGTCGTCATACTTGTGACGACCTCCATGTTCAGAAAAAGCTCTATAAAATGATACACCGAGCTCTAACAGTAGTTCAAAGGCAGACGGTTGATGAACTCCTGATCAGCCCGCTTGGATTCAAAAACCCTCAACTGTTGCGACGATAATTATGCAGAATACCTCGGAAGGGGTAAATGCAAGCATATTGAAATTTATAGGGGGAGGCAGGTGATCACAAGACACGCTGAAACTGCGGTCGAAGGCGGAACAAGGACACCCTTATAATTAAAATAGATCAGGGTGAAAACTCCTATGCCGATACACTTAGTAGACTGAGGCAAAAAATAAATTTACAAGAAACAGGTGCATCGGTGCTCAATGTGAGACAGGCGAGAAAAGGTGTAATTGAGTTGAAGATGACAGAAAAAAGAAAGATACGGCTAAAAGTTTTTGAGGCAAGTCGAAGGTATTTTTGGCGCCGGCAATGTGGCCAATACACCAGAAAGGAGTGTTGCAATCATAGTAAGTGACCCTGAAAAAAACATAGATAAGGGAGAGGTCCGTCAAGCTGTCGCAAGAGGCTCTGCAGCAACAAAATGTTGTATGTCTACAAGTTTTTGAACCAAGAGCACCTAAAAGTGGGAAGGGCCCTACTCCCTGAAGGGCTTGGACGTATGCTGCTGGAACAGCGGCATATTAAAATTGGATGGAGCAGGTGCAGAATAACTGGAAAAGTTTCTCCAGCGAGATGCTACACGTGCCACCTCTTTGGCCACGCTGCATATCAGTATACGGCAAAGAAGAACCAAAGGCAGAAGTGCCTCAAATGTGGAGACGACAAGCACGTTGCAAAAGACTGTACCAATGGAGTGAAGTGCAATGTGTGCGGTGAGATGGGACACCGCGCAGACAGTATGGCCTGCGTGAAATACAGGAAGGTAGTGAAACAACTTCGGTTCACAGCTAATCAACAAGCAGATAATACAGCTGTAGTAAAACAGGCAACGCCTGTAACAACTACAAAGAAAACCGATGTGCCTGCTTTATCTCGACCTCGGGCTAATAACACTGAGTATGAGGGTTTTTAGGTTGTCAGAATCAGAAAAGATAGGCGAACATATAGGAGCAACATTGCAACAACACCAAAATAAAGATAATACAAGCAAACTTAAACAGGTGCAGAGCGGCACACGATTAGCTGGATCAGTTCGCAAAAGAAAGTTCAATTGACATTGCTCTGGTGCCGGAGCCGAATAAAAAGATAATATCAAGAGGCCCATGGAAATCAGATGCAGTCGGAGACGCAGCTATTAGGATATACAACCAAACAGCTGTAACATCTATTAAGGGATGATTTGGAGAGAGATGGAAAAAATAGATCTGTGCTCTGTATATATTTCTCCAAACGTAATTGAAACTTACTTAGAACGACTAAGTGAATTGTAAACTCTTATTGGCCACAGTATAAAGCAGCACTTGGTTGGGGGAGATTTCAATTCGAAGTCGACAACCTGGGGATCCCTGATTACTAACAAAAGAGCTCCTTGGAGAAATTCTCGCAGCAAGGAGCGTTGTCATAGCAAACAATGGTGATGATGGAAATCTGAGTGGCCATAAATATGTTATGTTTGAAATAACTACTATCAAACATGGAAGACCACAGACACATAAGATTCGAAGGTGTAAGATAAATGGAGTTAAATTAAAAGCATTCCCCAGACAACTGCAGTTAGCCCTATGGAACACAAAAATGGATGATTACAAAAACAAAGCTCAACTGCTGGAAGATGTAGTCCACAAAAGTGATGGAAGCAAAGTATTGGTGGAATAATGAAACAGCACAAAAAGAAAAAAATGCCTAACCATCAGACGTAGAATAATAAGAGAAAATATAAAGTACCATAGAGCAAATGGAACAAGGAACGTTCTAATGCTCTAGTACAAAAAACAACATCAGTATGCTAAAAAAGAATTAGAAAAGCTCCTAGTGAACCCTAAACGGAGGAGGTGGAAAGACTTATTAAATTAATCAGAAAACGACGTTTGGGGTCAAGCATGCAAGTTAGCCATGAAAAAGCTAAAGCTCACAGCCAGACCGTTCCTGGATACTGAACAGCAAATAAAAATTACAAAGGGATTGCTTCCGAAGTAATCGTGAAATCGTGAAAGCGCTGGTTAAAGAGATACCCGAAATCGTGCTGTCTGTGATGAATGAATGCTTGAGAACGGGAGTCTTTCCGAAGAGGTGGAAGGAGGCTGGTTTACTACTCATCCCTAAACCTTTGAAACCCACCGATAGAGAAGTCAAATATTGACCTCTGTATATGCTGAGTTCACTTGGAAAGCTACTAGAACGACTGATAGAATGTAGGCTGAAAAAATACGTCGAGGAAAATAACGGACTGCCTCCCTCGCAATATGGCTTTAGAAAGAGAAAGTCTATCATAGATGCACTTAGCGAATATCGGCATCTACTGTGGTAAGAAACTTTGTATTAAGGTTGCCTTTTACGTCAACAGTGCCTTTAACACAGCACAATGGCAGAAAATCGTCCAATCTCTCGAGAAGCTAGACACCCCTAGCTATCTATTGAATATGATAAAGAGCTACCTTCACGACAGGGAACTTATGGTGGGGGAAAAGACGATGAAGGTAACCATGGGTGTGGAGCAGGGTTCCGTCCTAGGGCCGTTACTTTGGAACATGTTCTACAATGGGGTCTTCGGTTACAGAGGCTGCTGGCAATTTCGCTTGATATGATATGCTGACTAACAAGGAGAGAGATACACTTGACAGTGCCTTGGAATGCGGAATCACGAGAACTACCATATAGATGGAAGAAAATGGCTTGAAGTTGGCTAATGAGAAGACAGAAGTAGTTATACTTTCCGGCCGACAGAAGCTAACTTCGTTAGCTATTATAGTTGATAACTCCGAGACTCGGAGCCAAAATTTAATTAAGTATCTGCACCACTCACAAGGTAAATAAGGTCGTTGCTTCTCTGATACGGTAAATGCCATGTGACGGAGGCCCCAGTAGTGAGAGACAGGATTTTGGCAGGGATAGCTGTAGCCCCTACATAACATATAACAAGACCTGGAAGAAAAAGAAATATAGACAGCTAATATTAAGAAGCCAGCGAAAAAGTAGTGCTGCGCGTGGTATGCGCTTATAGAACGGTGTCGACCGATGCGCTGCTGGTGATGGCTGGTATCCCGCCAAATGATTTGCTGGCTGCGGAGAGATGTGCGCTTTATAAAAGCGACAAGCGACGAAAGAGAGTCGTATTTTGTCATGGCGAGAAAGGTGGGATGCAACTGGCCATGGTGCATGAACCAGAAGGCTGATCCCAGATATTAAAACTTGGATTGACAAGGGAGCGGTGCGGATAGAGCACTATACCCCACAGTTCCTCTCAGGACATGGTTGTTTTGACAGCTACCTGAAGAGGGTAGGAAAGACAGAGTACTCCATGTGGTAGGCGGATTGACTACCACACACAGCTCGAACTGACGCTCGTCGAGAGGCTCACTGCTGACAATTTTGCCACGCATATACGGGAAAACAAAAACAGACCATGTTGGTGGGATGTGTGGCGAACGACTGAGGGTTTTAATGAATATCCATTTCTGGAAAATCTCGCACTTCAGGCTGGAAGGGCTGGCAGGGCAGTACTGTCGTGTGCTATAAAAGCTTTTCCCTAGCTTTCCTTTGTAAAAAAACTATTTTGCTAATTAATAAACACTATTTGCTTTTTTGTGCATAGTCAAACACTTCTATATCCTGATTAGTATATGTGAAGAAATTCAGTCGCTCCAAGGATTTTTTAACCGATCTTCTAGTCTAGAGTTACGTTACTACTAGGTAACTTTGTTATAGTAAAATTTCAACAAGATCAGAGGTATGTGATATTAAAGACTTTTCATGTTTAGATAATTGATTCGGATTTTTTTGTTTTCAGATATAAAAACCCTAGGGTCCATACTAGCTACCTTGTCACTATGTCAATTTAAGCTCCATAGCTTTCTTTAGTTATTCCACTCTTTTACAGAAGATAGCAAATCCAACTCATCGCATGGCTCCTGTGACAACATATCATCCTCAAACGGCAACAATAAGAAGGGCGGAGCATCGAGCAGCTCCACCCACCCGCCGGTCTACCCAATCCCTTCGATCGCTGTGTTGAGTCCAAGCAACGGACGGCCGCCTGAACTGCTACTGGGAGGAGTGACTACGACTCAAGCACCTCCCACTTCAGGAGCACAGGCTCCGCCTACCGTCGTTGTGCAAAAGCCTGGGCACGCGGGTGGTAACAAGAGGGAACCTGATAACGGGGGCGGAGCGGATAAGGCCGTTAAAATGGTCAGACTGAGCGACCCACCTGGGCAGCGACACCAGAAAGAAAACGTTGATCCCAGGAAGTTGCCCACAACGGTAAGCATTTTAGTAAAATCATATTGAAGAACTATTAAAGACTACGCAGATGTTTGGAGAATAATGATAACTACTTTATAGTATCTGAAAATACAATAAGCGAATTGGTCGGCGATATTTTATCTGCGGTAATTTTTTTGTCTAGAACAGGCGCTGGGTAGAATTGAGTATCTCATTTTGTCAATGGATCTTAGCCGAGGAGAGGCCAAACGATGATAATCTAGATCTTACGAGCCCATCTGTCCATTTTCTATCCAGAGAATTAAAATTCAACTGTACCGTACAATTACATTTTTCAGAGTTTATCAAGAAGAAGAGGTTCAGCGCCAGTATCACTTCCATTATCAAAGCCTACGGATGAGAAGATGCTCCCTGCTGGCGGAGGGCTAATTCCACCGTCTGACACTCAGTCTCTCAGAAGAGGATCTGTGCCAATTGAAATTGCTCATTCCCATTACTGTGAGTATATCAAGTTTTATTGCTGTGAGTATATCATTACAAGTGACACAAGTAAGGCAGAAAATATTGCTGAATCCTGTCGAAATAAGACATCATTTCAATCTACCAATCACAAAGGCCACTTGTGTGGTCACTGCGTGTGACAACCTCGTTCCCCCGCGTCAAAACAAACAGGAGCACTCGACCAACGCTTCTGGTTACTTGTCGTTGCCTGTACAGGTACTTATGACCTGCTGGCCAATAGAAGTGAGCGAATTTGTACATGGCATGCTGGGGTTCATTATGGCGGAGCATAAATGAGATTTTCTGTTTTCAGGCAGAATTTTTTTTATTTTGAGTAGATCATATAGAACCTAAGCAGCCTTTAGATATGCATTGCATTACTGTCGATTACATTTGAGATGATTATTCTGAATCAACGTTTCTTTTCCATTTGTTTTAGATCCCATTGATGACGAGGAACCTCTGCTCACTATCACGCCGGTGGAAACGTCTCGTTCGTTCTGGCAACAACAGCGTCGCGGGTCGGCGCCTGTAGACTTGCCGCCCCCGGGGCCGGTACCGGAAGGGGGCGGAAGTGGACTCACACGGCACACGAGCCTCAACGGATGCAGGAGGCGTGCAAGGTAAGATAATTCACAATTAATGACGTATTTAAGATAGTTTGGTAGCTACTGAAAGATTGGCTGCGTGTGAGTGAAAACACAGACACAAACCTTAGAGGTTTTAAGTTGCATAACCCACTGACGCGAAGCAAACTTCCTCCTCGTAGTAGAGAGACTGTCGACGAGACGACACGCCTATATTTCTTACAGTGTTTGTAGTATTTTTCATTTTTGTGGCTGAAATTGCTAGTTCTTTCTGAGGATTGTGCCATTGGATCATATTGGAAGAGGTTGGTAAGGAAACTACGGCATAATCATTAGCTAATTGATTATGTCCTGATTAATTCGGCTGTGATATGCCATAACCTCGATTACATATACAGAGGCGTACCAATTAATGTTTGAACATGTCGCAAACGTGTAGCTGCTGCTCGAAGGTAGTTGATACTCATCTACTGTTATCCTGTTGTGTCTGCAGAAAAAGCTTTTACCATGTATGCGTCAATCTGTCAACTTCAGAAACGCGACTCATAAACTCAAAAAAATCAGTCTCATGGACCTGTGGGAAATGTGAGCAGATGGGGGGAGACATAAATGCCTTGAAAGCAGCTATTGTAGCTCTACAAAATGAGGTAAAAGCGTTGTCAACAAAAAATAACGATACAAAGATGTCTGATAGCCAGTTTGAAGATATTGTACAAGAAGTGTCAGAAAGACAAAATAGAAGATGCAATGTAATCATTTTTGGGCTGAAGGAGCAGAATGGAGCGACAAAAGACGATAAGGCAGTTTTAGAAAAGTCTGAAGTCGTTAAAGTCTTGACCCACATCACACCTTCAATTACGGTTACAAACATTAGACGACTTGGCAAATTTGATGAAAATAGGACAATTGGAAGGCCCATAAAAGTTACGCTTGCTAATGTCGAACAGGTGAGTGAACTCATAAAAAAATGTCCGTCGTTGAGAAACTCTAGGGAATTCAAACATATTTCCATCTCTACTGACAAAACGCCACGTCAAATGAATTTCTATAAGACTCTCAAATCTGAACTGGAGGAAAGGAAGAATAAAGGAGAAACCAATTTGAAGATTAAATATGTTGGCGGCGTTCCGAAGATAGTGAATTTTTAGATTCTACACCCAATTATGTTAGTGAAATAAACTGCTATTACCAAAACGTTAACGGACTTAACTCTAAAACTTCCATTTTTTATAATAATTTAAGCCTGAATTGTAATTTTGATATAATTTTTCTTTCTGAGACATGGTTAAATGAAGGAGTTTTTAATGCCGAAGTTTTTCCTTCTGAATACACTGTATTTAGGAAGGATAGAAATTTTGCAGATACCCGTTTATCCAAAGGAGGCGGGGTACTCATTGCTGTCAAAAATTGTTATTTTTTTGAGCCTCTTGATTTGGATGGTATTAAGTTAGGTAGTCCTAAGATTGATTTAGTTGGTGGTAAACTTCATTTAGGGTTTCATACTATATATATATATATGCTGTTTACATCCCCCCGGATATTTCGCTTGAGGAGTTTGAAATATTCTTTGACAATTTTTCTCTTTTCAATTCCAGTCATAACAGCTCGACCATAATTGCTGGTGATTTCAACACCCCTATGTATGGCTATGATGATAACGACTCTAAATGTATAATAGTAAAGAGCTTCGCAGAAATGTTTGAATTCCAACAATATAACATTATACCAAATTATAACAATAGATACTTAGACCTCGTTTTCAGTAATAGTGAATGTCGAATTGAAAGAAGTGATACACCACTTGTATATGAAGACAGACATCATCCTACATTACAATTCACTATTAGCACTAGAATTACCAGAACCATTAACTTTAGTCCCAACAAAGCTGAATCTGTTTTCAATTTCCGCAAAGCAAACTTTGTCCTTATGTACGAAATAATGTCGACTATTGATTGGAGTGATATTTATCAGTGCACGGATCCTAATGCAGCGACTGAAATGTTGCAACAAACTTTGTATAGAATATTCGACCGAACTGTACCCAAAAAAATTATTCCGACCCGTAGGTTCCCACCATTGTATTCCGTAGACACAATAAATAAAATAAAAGAAAAAGAACGAGTACATAAAAACTATAAAAGATATGGAGATGAAGCATCTCGTACAAGATTTGATTCTTTACGAAGGACGATAAAAACTCAAGCTGACAACGAATATCGCAATTTTATTTTGGCAGCAGAAAACAATATTTTATCAGATCCTTCTCAGTTTTGGAATTTTATCCACAGTAAAAAAGGAATATCCCGTTTACCTGGTATGATGAAATATAATGAAACTACCTTAACAAAACCCCAAGATATTGTTGACTCGTTTAAACAGTATTTTTCGACAGTTTATACACCTCCTGATCAAAACCTTAGTGAAAATGTAATCCTGGATTATGGTAACTCCTTGTTTATAGATTTACCTCAAATATGTGAAGCTGATGTTCTTAAAGCGGCGAAAAAGTTAAAAAATAAGTTGATTATAGGCCCGGATCAAATACCCAGCTTCTTAGTGAAGGATTGCATACATGCGCTACTCAGACCATTAGTACATCTGTTCAACATTATTTTGAAGACGGGCATCTTTCCAGACAACTGGAAGATATCCAAAGTTACCCCGGTGCTGAAGAAGCGTGATAGAGCTTTAATTAAAAATTACCGCCCAATCGTTGCAGTATCCAACTTTTCAAAGCTATTTGAAATTATTGTCTATGAAGTGATTTATATTCACACTAAAAACCTAATTGTAGCAGAACAGCATGGCTTCCAAGAGAAAAAATCTTGTACGTCAAATCTGGTATGTATTACTCAATCCATCAGTGAAAACCTTGATAGCAGAGGACAGACGGATGTAGTTTACATGGATTTACAGAAGGCATTTGACCGAGTAGACTTATACATTTTAATGAAAAAATTACAAGGATTTGGGTTTTCGGCACGTCTTCTAAGCTTGCTTAAATCGTATTTATTTAATCGAGTGCAATTTGTGGAATATGAAGGGCACCGCTCTGATATTTTCTCGCCAACATCTGGGATTCCCCAACGATCGAATTTAGGACCTCTATTGTTCTTGTTATATATAAACGACCTAGCTATGATGATTACATGCCAAAAGTTGCTCTATGCGGATGACCTCAAAATTTTTCATAACATAAGCTCAAATTCGGACTGCCAAATTTTACAAGGCAACATTGACCTTGTCTTGGATTGGTGTAATGCTAATATACACCTCCTGATCAAAACCTTAGTGAAAATGTAATCCTGGATTATGGTAACTCCTTGTTTATAGATTTACCTCAAATATGTGAAGCTGATGTTCTTAAAGCGGCGAAAAAGTTAAAAAATAAGTTGATTATAGGCCCGGATCAAATACCCAGCTTCTTAGTGAAGGATTGCATACATGCGCTACTCAGACCATTAGTACATCTGTTCAACATTATTTTGAAGACGGGCATCTTTCCAGACAACTGGAAGATATCCAAAGTTACCCCGGTGCTGAAGAAGGGTGATAGAGCTTTAATTAAAAATTACCGCCCAATCGTTGCAGTATCCAACTTTTCAAAGCTATTTGAAATTATTGTCTATGAAGTGATTTATATTCACACTAAAAACCTAATTGTAGCAGAACAGCATGGCTTCCAAGAGAAAAAATCTTGTACGTCAAATCTGGTATGTATTACTCAATCCATCAGTGAAAACCTTGATAGCAGAGGACAGACGGATGTAGTTTACATGGATTTACAGAAGGCATTTGACCGAGTAGACTTATACATTTTAATGAAAAAATTACAAGGATTTGGGTTTTCGGCACGTCTTCTAAGCTTGCTTAAATCGTATTTATTTAATCGAGTGCAATTTGTGGAATATGAAGTGCACCGCTCTGATATTTTCTCGCCAACATCTGGGATTCCCCAAGGATCGAATTTAGGACCTCTATTGTTCTTGTTATATATAAACGACCTAGCTATGATGATTACATGCCAAAAGTTGCTCTATGCGGATGACCTCAAAATTTTTCATAACATAAGCTCAAATTCGGACTGCCAAATTTTACAAGGCAACATTGACCTTGTCTTGGATTGGTGTAATGCTAATCATTTCGAAGTTAATGTAGATAAATGCTTCGTATTAACGTACACCAGAAAGAAAGAACCAATAACATGGTCCTACAAAATAAGCGAGAATGAGTTGAATAGGTGCTATCAAATTAAAGATATCGGTGTTCTCTTTGATAGCAATTTGTCATTTTGTGAACATATAAATAATATCACAACATCAGCCAACCGAATCTTGGGCTTCATCATCCGAAACAGTAGACAATTTTCCAATTTACATGTTTTGAAACTTCTTTATTCTTCGTACGTTCGATCTAAATTGGAAGGTTGTTCTTTAATTTGGTATCCCATCTATTCGGTTCATATAAGCCGTATTGAGCGAATACAAAGGAAGTTTTTGAAATTTCTGCATTTCAAGTGGACAGGCGAATATCCGGAGAGAGGATGTGATTATTCTGTACTCATGAATACATTTGACTGTATGTCGCTAAATAGTAGGAGAGTTATAAGTAGTTTAAATTTTCTTTATGATGTTTTGCACAATGATGTCATATGTGAATATATATTATGTAAGCTTAACTTTCATGTACCTGTGCGCAATTTGCGTCACCAAATAACATTTTACTGCGAATTAGCTCGAACAAATATCTCGAGAAAATCGCCGGTCACGGTTATGTGTGAGAACTTCAATTCTTTAGGTGAATCTTGTGATGTGAATACTTCATCTAGAAATGACTTTAAACAACGTTATCTTGCCATTTCCCATGGCATGTAATGACCTTCTTGCGGTTAGAGTTATTCTTTTTTTTTTTAATGTTTTGGCTTTTTGATCTACCTGTATTATTAATTTGATTGTGTTTTTTTTTATGTACTAGGATTATGTGTTGCTCTTGTTTTCTTTTTGAACTATTTCCTGTAATTGGGTGATTGTACCTGTTGGAAATAAAGATCCATCTACCTATCTATCTATCTATCTATCTACCTACGCTATGGCCTAGATATCTGTCGTGATTGACGGGTTCTCCTCTTCATCCCGAAATGTCAATGTAGGCATTCTGCAGGGATCGGTCTTGGCTCCAACATTATTTCTGTAACACATCAACGACATTCTTTCTGTAGGATCAATCCGATTCACAGATTTGCTGATGTCAGCACTCTACATGCTGGAATTCAGAGTGCCAAGCCCATTTCTGACAGTGAACTGATGTGAAGAAAACTAGCAACGGCTTCCTCTCTAACGAGAGATATAGAGGGCATTTCTGCTTGAGAGCGCAACAGTTCGATACAGTTGAATGCTTCCAAAACAAAATACTAAACTAACCAGAAGCGCCCTAACACTCATCAGATAGATGATAGACGGTCGGGTTCTAACAAAGAGCTGTTTATTTCGACTGGTCGAAGGGCTAGGCTGTTTGTACAAATATATGAACAAAAAGTACTTTTCTCCACAAAACCTCCTCACTCTGTACAAGGCTCAGATAAGACCTAGCCTCTAGCTCTGCTCACATGTTTGGGGTGCTGCTGCCCCCACTACATTGTCCATAGTCGATGCTGTTCAGAGTAAGACTGCCCGACTATCGGTGACACTTTTCTACCGCTATGTCACTGAGCTTTGCTCCTCATAGCTCTCCTCGGCCCGTCATATTTCGGTCCTACCCTAACTGTGTAGAAATTCGTACATCCAAAACTGGTCGGTGCGGTGTCTCTTTTGTTTGTGGAATCTGCTTGAGGAGGTTTTTACCAATTGTACTAACCTTAGGCAGTTCAAAAATCGGACAAGGTATCTGTAACCTCGCTATAGCAGTCGCTGTGCCCCGGTATTTAGTCTTCTGCCTACACGACTGCTTCGGTATATAAAAAGAAAACCAGGAGACACATCAAACTTAGTTGGTCGCTCTGGAGAGGGCGTTAAACTTCGTGTCGCTCCAATAATTTCAATTACACTTCTGTTCCTCTCACTTCTCTTTTCCTAAGTGCTTGTAAAACTTTTCTGATACTTCGTGGAATATGTAAAAGGCGTCAAATGTAAACAAGCAAATCAGTTTCTGACTTTCAGAGATTGTCCCCTACACGTATCCAAACAAACTAATGATATAATGCTGCTTTGCTGCGTACTGAACTGATCGGCACGGGTATTACGTATCTTGAAATGTGACATTAGGTCGGTTGTCTTGGCATAACGTAGGTTTCTTTAACATCATTTCTAGAAGATATCAACTTGGCACTAGCTGATGGACACTTGTGAACTCGTTTTGTAGTTGTACGGGTTTCCTAAACGTCATGATGCTTCAGTTATCAATGTTTGGCTCTGATGTGATGTAACATCTGCCTCAGAGATGGCATTATTGGAGGTCTAGGCTGTAGTTGTATACTATAGTTAGAAGGAAACGGCAATGCATGGGTGCTAATCATATGTGTTGATGATAATTCCATTGAATTCTTGCCTCAAGTACACTTACTTGAGATTCAAAGCTAGAAATTAGTTAGGCATCCAGTTTTTCTTATACATTCAGTAAACAGATCGAGTCACCGTACCATGGGCGGATCTCAATCTTCAGCGCATCTGCTACTCTCTCCAGTACAGGGGACCGCTGTTTTCATTCTCTTCCTGCAAATACTCTAATAAATTTAGCACGAGCTGACGGTCTTGTCCATTGATCGTATTTCCGGGCATTGTACAATTTTATATTGCAGATTGATAACAGGACAACTTAAATTGCACACCGATGTCAAGTAAGTTGTCACTCTGACAAATATGATTGAAGGGCACTCATACGTAAGGACAAAGTTTTCAGGACGGCGACACACAACTAAAAAATGTATGTCTTTGAGCTTACCGAACAAACGTTCACACACAGGGGTAGGTTGCATGTGTACGTATGATGGAGATGAAGATATATAAAGGGATACTGGCAGTCTTACTTTGTCCCGCCAAGAACGGTGATTACAACTATAGTACAATTTTCAATGGCAAACTTCACTGACTTCGGCATATTTTCATAGTATAACAGGTTTTATTTTTTTTATACTCCAACTACCACGAAGGCCTAAGGCCTAAACACCCATTGGGTACCGTGGGGCTATAGGGGGATACAGGGGAAAGGGGGAACGCCACACGGACTCTGGCGAGGGAACACGTGTGCATGCAACATGCACACATTCTGGCTCCGCCTACGAGATCCGCCGGGTGGTACCTCCACGTTCGACAGTCAGAGACCGTCTACCACCTACGCACAATCACAACATCCATAGCCAAGAGAAAAATTTCTCCTGGGACGGGACTCGAACCCGCACAGCGCACGGCGGCTGATTAGGAGACCGAAGAGTCTACTACTGCGGCCACCGCTGCTGCCTGGACGTTTTTGTACGGATGTTAATAATATATTTCTCAAAATTCTCATGTATGATTGGACATGTTATTCGAAAATGGAATAGATGTTTAGATGAATAGAAGTCATTGGCGTAGAACATATTTTTCTTTTTTATTCTGTAGAGGTCACAGTTTCCCAAGTTTCCCCTACTGGCGTAGTCTCGGAGAAGAAAATTATTGTATGCATTGCTATGCTAGTACCACATGTCCAAAATTCGTTATCTTAACCAGTCCAATGTTGAAATTATAACTTCAACACCCTGCATTGTACATGGATCTCTTGTGATATTTTTTAATCTCCTTTATAAGCTAAAACTATTGCCTCTGTTTTCTGACTCGCCCTGTGTAGCTGAGAAAAAAATTGTTAATTGACTTTATCGGTGAGCAGGCAGCTGCGCAGGCGCAGCTCCAGCGACCAGCAACATCAGCAACAGCTGCTGCACGGTGGCGAGACAAGGGCCGAGCTGGTGGCCCGTTTACTGCTCCACCGCCATCGACCCTTGCGCGAAGATGACCGCCAGGGGGACCAGACGCTGCTGGTACGGCGCCGAGGATCCCTACCCATCGAGGTGCTCGCTGTTGGCCACTCTAGTAAGTATATTCTTCAAACACTACTGTATATGTCGTAGCTTCTTAGAAAATGCAACCTATTTTTCTAAAAGACTGAAACCACCAGTTACTCAGCTAAAAACCTAGGAGAACATTCAAGTGAACAATGTATACTTAATATAAAATCAATTCAATATTTCATAGAAAACACCGATTAATATGTACAGCCTGTGAAAATAGAAGTTAGTTAGCCTTCCAAGCAAAGATAATAATTTAAGCGTAAAGTACTCTTTTGGATCTTATCACGTAAATTTTCATCTTCAATTGTCCGACTAGTTCGAAGTCACTCCTAGGTTACTTCAGCATCGTGTAAAATTTTGTCAAAATCGGTTCAACAGTAACTTAGATACGTTATATCAAATATTAAGTGAATTGATAGATCCGTAAAAGATTAGTAATGATTTTTTTATTTTTAGATATAAACAAACGTCCGTCGCCCCTAACTACCTACCATTAAGCTAGGTATTTCCGTTTTTCTCACGGAGTACTAGTATGAAATGATGAATTGATTTTATAAAATGCATTGTTCTCTAAGTTGTACTCCTGTTGGCTGTTTGGCTTCTTAGAAGAATATGTTGTTGCATTTTCTACATAGCTGGTCCTGCTTCAGCCATGTAGAAAGTGGGCGGGTCCACAGTCCATCAGTCTAAGTAACTCTAGATTTCAGCTCTATATAGAGAAATACTCGGAATTTTTCTAAAAGGTAGATTTATAAATAAAGGGGCGTGCACCGACAAAGTCATTAGTGTAAGTAGAGCTACTTGGCTAAGTGACTGGTTTCTTAGCTAAGAAGCCAATTCTCTAAGGGTCATATCGTCAGTCGTTCCTTCAAATGTAGGACGCCTTTATCGCCTCTTTGATTTTCGTAGTTTTTCGTGTCCTTCGAATATCTATTTGCTTCAAATATGCTTTTGATTATTATCATCTGTTTTGTCAGCCTGAAATTTCTTGCAATTTAAAAAGAAAACAATTAGGAGAGCACTGACACGGAACAGTAGAAATCTAGAAATAAACCAAATGTGATTTTCATAGTCTTTTCTCTCCTTCAAATACTGGGGTATTTCTAGATTTCTTCTGTTCCGTGACAGCGTCAGCGCTCTCCTATTTAACGCTGACATAACAGATGATATAAATCAAAAATATGAACGGTTTGATGAAAATAGATATCTGTAACATAACCTCAAAATAGATCGCTGACACGGAACAGTAGAAAACTATGAAAATCAAGGAGGCCATAAAGGCATCCTTCAATTGCAGGAACGACTAACGATACGACCCTAAGGGCCGTGTCAGTGGTATATTTTGAGGTTATGTTACAGATATTTATTTACACCAAATTGTTCATGCTTCTGACTTATATCATCTGTTATATCAGCCTGAAATTTCCTACAATAATTCAAAAAGAAAATATAGCCTCACGCTGACGCTAACACGAAACACTCCAGCCTTTTTGAAGAAGAGAAATCACTATGAAAATCAAGGAGGCCATAAGGGCGTCCTACAATTACGAGCCCCTTCCCACTTCAGTTGGCCCACTTCAAGATTTGTACCAAAATATGCCTTTATAAACTAAACATGACGAAACTATTTACTTCTAAAACAATTTATTTTCTCAAAAACATTTTAGATACACTAGTCGTAAAAAATACATACAGTGGACCTCCGATAATCCGGCCCCTGTCTAATCCGGCGCCCCCTGTAATCCGACATGACTTTCAATATGTATTACATACATACGTATTTGACAATCTTCGCTAAAGTAGATCACGCAGGTTTGAACAGGTTACAACTTGTACGCGCCACCGCTATCGTGCGCGACGCGTAAGCATTGTTTTACTTAGTTTGAATTTGAGTACTTGTGATAGCGGTACGGCCTAGCGTGCGTTCATTGTTTACTATTTATTCATTGTGTATTAAGTATAGTACCTAGTAATGTCATCACATCACAAACTCAGAAGTGAAAGCACAAAACATTGACAATCAAAGAAAAATGTGATATTTTAGACCGCTTAAATCGCAATGAAACTTTCAGTAGTTTAGCAAGTGAATACGGCGTAGGCCGATCTACAATTTATGACATTAAAAGAAACCACGAGAAGATCAAGAAGTTCGTGTCAACTACTGGCTGCGGGCCAGGCAAGAGACAGACACTCAAGAAAGCTGAATATACACAAGTGGAAGAAGCTTTGTACATGTGGTTTGTTCAAGAAAGAAATAGGCATGCACCAATTTCAGGACCCATTTTGGCCATGAAAGCTAAGCTTTTTTATAAGGAAATAACAAAAGATGATTTTGTGGCCAGTAAAGAATGGCTAGAACGTTTTAAAAGTCGTCATGGCATACGTTTAATGAATATTACAGGAGAGAAACTTTCTAACGATGCCACCTTTAAATTAAGATTTTTTAAAAGGTGAACGATTTAAATCTTGAGCCGTCACAGGTGTACAATGCAGACGAATCAGGGCTTTTTTGGCGTGTGATGCCCAACAAAACTTTCGTTTCTTGTAACGAAAAATCCGTACCTGGACGAAAAGTAAGTAAAGAGCGTGTAACCATACTACCATGTGCTAACGCTGCGGGCACACACGCGCTTATGATGATGGTCATTGGGAAATCTAATAAACCACGGGCATTCAAAAACATTGATTTACCTGTACACTATTACGGACAAAAAAGTGCATGGATGACAAAAGACTTTTTCAAAAAGTGGTTTGATGAATGCTTCGTACATGAAGTTATAAAATGTTTAAAAGATCATAATTTTCCTCAAAAAGCGTTGCTTCTTGATAACGCTCCCGGTCATCCGTCTGAAGAAGAACTAACAACTGAGGATAAATGCATCACTGTGATGTTTCTTCCGCCAAATTGCACTGCACTGATTCAACCAATGGACCAGAATATCATTCAGTTTGTCAAGCAAGAGAGCCGTATCAAAAGACCAACCAATAGAAAAAACTTTAAAAGAATTTAATATGAAAGACTTGGTTTTTGCTATTTGTCAGTCGTGGAATGCAGTACCGTCATCAACTATTAAATTGTCTTGGAAAAAGTTATGGCCAGATATAGTCACCACTCCTAGCAACGTTCCACAAATCAGTGTTACTTCGGAAGTTATAGAACAAGTCGCTACTGAAACACAGATAAGTCCGGAAGATTTGGAAATCTGGTGCCGTGGAATGGATAAAAAGGTTTCTAATTATACAACAAACAATCAGGAAAATAACGACGACGTGTTTGCAACTGCTCCACAAGTCATAGCACAAGACGCAATTAACGCCTTTGAGCTACGAAATTTTACTTTTGAGAAGACTGAGGGACAAAGCTCTGATCTCGCGTTATAACAACCTTAAACAAAACAAAAAAGATGAATATTTCCAAGCCTCATAATTTGATAAATTCATTAATGATTTTGATTAATAATTCTTGATTATTTTGGTACAATATATATGTGCATTTATGCTTAATTTTATAATAAAACATAAGCTCTCTATTGTTATTAAATTTACTAAATTCGACATATATATATATATATATATATATATATATATATATATAAGCTCTGTATGATTTGTACTTCAAGGTACATACATATACATAACATATATAATCTTACCATTGGATATGTAATTTGTCGGATTACAAGGTAGTCTTTTGTAAAAAATTCCGGACTATAGGGGGTCTTAGGCAGTGCTCTATAATCCGACAAATTGGATAGTCCGACAATGCCCTGCATAATGTTTGTCGGATTACCGGAGTTCCACTGTATTTGAAATCACTTAGACCTATAACTAATAGAACTTTAATAGAACATCTGAACAAATAAACAGTGTGCGAATAAATACTCGAAGTTAACAAAGCAACAATTGAAAGATTACCATTGGGTAACATCACCTTTATTTTTCATTACGGCTGAATTTCTTTGGGGCATAGTGTCAACAACAATCCCATATTTCTTGAAGCTTTTGTCTCAGTTCGGTGATTGTACGAGCAGGATATTGTCGTAGAACCTTTTTCATCTCGTGCCACAAAGTTTCAATAGGTGACAGATCTGGACTGCTAGAAACCCATTTCAAAAGTGGTGGCCTTTTGATGACATACTGCCCCAGACCATAATGGATGCTGGAAATTTCACTTTTCTCTTTAGACAGTCAACATGAAATGCTTCATTTTTTTTGCGAATAACTCTACTGCGACTGTCACTAACACAAACTTCGAATCGGACCTCATCACTTTATTGTATTGCACACCATTGTTGAGGTGTCCATTGTCTATGTTCTTTAGCCCATCTAAGTCGATTTTTCTTTTGCAGTGGAGTTAATATTGGCTTTTCTTTGGCCTATAAACAAGTTCTGTAACTTTAGGGTTTTTACTTCACTTTTTTTTATAAGAAAACTTACCTTGCAAGTGCTAAATCCCAGTTTGCGGGCCTCTCTATATGAGTTGTGGACCTCGAAATTCTCCTTCCAACAGCGTCACTGCACAGAGCACTTAATTGTAAATAATTGGCACGCCTGTTTTTCACGATTATTCTTCTTAATGATCTTCGGTCGACATTTGTGATATTACTTATTTTCACATATCGTGGCTTAATATTAACTTAACCAGTTACGCTATATCTTCTAACAATAAATTTCTGAGTTTGATTTCCCAGAATTGAAAAATTTAATTATCAGTAACCGAATTTTCTCACTAATAACCTTTCCTCTACCCATTTTGAAAACCTTAACTACCCAAAACTATTTTAAACGTATTCTGAAAGTTGTGATTAATAAAAACAATTGTCATGGCTTTTATTTTTCACAGCCACCTATGCGTTATAGACTTATTTTGCATTGAAATGAAATTAGGTTGATATGCTGTAATTGCAACATGTGTTATTTGTATGCTGCAAATTTGATTAGGGAGTGATAAAGTTGATGTTTTCTACTATATATTATCAAAATATTCATTGTTAATATTTTAAACCTATCCCTGCTACATTTTTATTATTTGTGTTTGATAAGAAAAAAACTAAGATTTCAATAGTTGGGCCAACTGAAGTGGGAAGGGGCTCGTATTGTATGAACGACTGACGATACAGCCCTAATTCTCGCCAAAAGAAACTACCGCAACTTGGACTAAACCCTTAATTTTAATGTTTGTTTCAGTGTTTTGACGGTTACCCCTGATGCCACTAGGGCTATGGAGCCAGCCGTCCGACAACGTGCAATAAGGACCAACAATAAAATAAAAATAATTAACACTCACACACCGACTGACATCCACCTTCGTTAATAAATGCATAAAAACATAAATTAGATAGCTCATTTGATGAAAATGTCACCTACAGATCACTCTCAAAACAGGATTTTTCCTTTAGATTGGGTATTTTTGTAACGTTAAAATTTCCATAGTACGTATATATGGGTGCTATCAAAATAAATATTAGTTTAACTACTAATGATAAATTCCCAAACTGTCAAATGTCAGCCAATTCGTAGTGAAAGAATGAGAAAAGCAGGAATCTTTTTGGTCGCAGTTTGATTTTCGCATGACGGTATGATACTGGCCTTAAAGAATATAAAAATGTCTTCTTTAATAAGGACGAATATAAAATAGGGCCCAGTAGGAAATACGTTCCGAAGCGATACAGAACATCATAATTTGTATTTTTCTCTCTATATGCAGATATCATACCTACAAATCATGTCACTAGTAAGAATGTTACTGCATTCAACCAGTCTTTTGTACCAAGGTCAGACTCTGAAATACGAGTACTATATGTAATATCATAAATTTTGACAAAGACCCTGAGAATCAGTGATCTGTACGTAATTTTTTCACGGCCATTAGGATAATCATCATTGATGAAGAACAAGCCAAATAATCATAAATGTTGTAGTTGTCGATACAGTGTTAGGATTATTACGTTCGAAATGAGACTTCGTAAAGGTTCATGTACATAGTAACCAAAAGCATGATTGTTCCGAAAATTTCCAGTAATTTCTTTGCTTACATATTTATAGATTTGCTATTCAACTTCAAGAGGGATATCTACAGTGTCGCATTTGTACTTACATTTTGGCATTCTGAATTTTCTGAAAAATATTAGAATCGCTACAACTTTCCATTTTTAAATGAAAATTTTACATTAAATAACGTATTTTTTACATCCATATTTGACTAACGGTGCAGAATATTGCTATAGTCCTTTGGTATCTCAAAATGAAGTCTGCACTGGAATTTAGTTTTTACCAATGTCTAAATGTTCTTAATAATATTCGCTATAGGAATGTATTTTATTTTTTACTGGACGAAATCGGCATGCGCTGTAGGCACGTTGCATGTCCCATTTGCGACAAATGGTGGATTTGTCGAATAATATACTGAAAATTCAACTTTACTGTGTGATCAGCAATTATACAAAGAAACTGGAAAATATTTAAGGTTGCATACTTTTGGCCACTATTGTACAATAATAATACATTTACATAGAATTTAAGTAGGTTTGTATCTAATGGAAACAATTTAAAGGAGAAACGTTGATTAAGGTGAAAACTTGACAACTTTGCGCTTTCTGTTCAAATCGTGAACGTTTTTCCAGGTAATTGTTATTATTTTGAAAGATTCATCTGAAATTGGTATGTTTATCTTATTTCCGAAGCTTTGAAATTATGTATGTTTCCTAGGAAGCCAAAAATTATAATCTATTTTTATTTGAATGAAAATGTTCGAAGAATGAATCATTGAAATCAAGTACGTCTTCTAGAGAGGAAAACATTACAGTTTATTCTAATTTGAATCAAAATGCTGCCCAAACTATAATGGTGTGCTTAAATGTAGGGTATTGAAAATAAATTTAGAAGAAATGCAGTAAAGTTACCGTCTATGTTGTTCAGATCATATACACTGTCCAGGAGATTTGCAACTGATTTAAGAAAAGTTTAGTTGTTCTATGTTGTTAAAATTCCTATTCTTTTATCCATCTGACAGCACCTATCTAGTATACTTTAGAATGACAATTACGCTGATTATTTAGTGGAAATATACGAGTATGTCCAACTACAGAATGCATATTATTCGAAAATGGAATCAGTAAAATGGATAATGCTAATGGTTTTCAAGTTTTCACTATTTAATAAACTGCAAATTATATTGTTTTAGTGAATATTTAATTTATTTTTTTTTTCAAATCGTATTATCATTTGTATGACTAAAAAAATGTACAATTTATTGAGTACCTTGTAAGTTGTTATTATTATTTCTTTTTATGTTTGTTAAGTTTGTGCTATTGTTTCGTAACTTTTAAAGACATTTTTATATAAAATGGAACAAAAATAAAAAACATATTGAATCGACTGTTACAAACCCCAATTTTGTTGTTTTTTCTTTTTTTTTTTTTGTTTTATGTATATTGTATAGGAAAATGCAAAACAAACTCCAGAAAATCATCTACGAAATTTTGATTCAAATATTTGTTTCAATCTACCTATCGCAATAACTGGAAATTTAGAGACTACTTTGGAAAATAAACAAGAGTTGCAAAACTATCCGGAAATACATCATGATTTAAGATATTTTTATTTGAGGATTGCTGAAAGAAGTGATCAGCCCTAATAAATGGCTATTTCACTTTGCAATAAACTACTAGTTCCACTAAAATTCTCATTGGCCTAAATTTGTGATGAAATAAACATTTAATACCGGAATATATTTTTCATTTTCCTGTACAGCATGGTCGACTAAAAAGTAAGGTTTGTAAAGAATTTTGACGTCGGAATAAAAATGATTCGGTCAACGTTAATCTGCAAATAATTTTAGGTACCTACTGATTTTTTTATTAAGGAAAACAACCTGTAACTCCAGCAATGAAGATAACTGTTGAATGTGATTCATTTTTTGTATTGTGCTGTATACTGTATGTGTTGTAGTTGATTGTTATAAATTACTAGTTAAAAGTCACTCAAGAAAATTTGACTCAATCACAGAAAATGCGGACGTGAAATTCCTGTTGAAATTCTAGATTGGTTGTTCTATGCACCTTATTACAACAATATCTTATCAGTTGACTTGTCTGTCTACATCTTTGAGGAATTGGGCTTATAATTCGAATAACTTAAATACGGCAAAAAACTGATTTATTGTTAACTAAGATTTGACCTGCGTTTTTACATTCAAGGTAATTGTCAACACACATTTCTTCCAAATACAACTTCAGATTTTTGAATCTAGTAATGAAAATAATGACAAACTTTCGGTTTGAATCAACAAATTCAAATAGGAGCTAAGCCTATGTGTTCGCATTGCGTTGTTTGTCACCAAAATTGCGTAGTTTTGGTGAATACTTTTGGCTCATTTGGTTATCACTACTAAAGTGACAAGGTTACAACATAATAATAACATATATTGGTGGAAAGATCTTCCTTCGTTAGGCTTGTACCACTCTTTGCAAATTATGCAAAGAAGTACCATGTCTTACAATCGTCTAACATCACAATAATCTGCAAACACTCCCCCTTTTAAAAAACAATACTAATTATACGAATTTAATGAAAGAACTGTCAAAAAATTAACTTATACTTGTAGTATTCACGTTCATCCTGACTACAGACAGATTTGAAAGACAAACAAATCGTAGGCTTGTTCCTGCTACCTAGTCTGAATTCGTTGGTTTGAATAGAGTATTGGTAATCACAAAGACAATTATTTATATGAAGTACATGTCAAATGATGTTAACATTAAGGTTTACATTTGCGGTATTTGTAATTGCTAAAACTCTGTAATATCTTTTGAATATACGACGGCATTGTTACACCCAACAATGGGGCTGATCTCTTGAGTGATATTTGATAGTGCTCAAGGTCACGCAACAAAGCATTTCAAATGCCCATAAAATAAAAATCTAAAGATAGGTCATCTATAGACTTCACGCTATCACGATAAACATACATCTCAGATTATGATAGTTTTGGAATTAACCTTGAGAGAGGCTTGAAAAACAGATTCGAACGTATAGAATACTGACGCTGTGCTATGCGCTAGCATTCTGTTGTTCCATGTGTTAACATCACTGTACTTACAAACAGCACGGAGTCACTAGCCACTCTGCAAACATGGCCGTTTATTCTGAATATTCGTTTGACATTAACAATTATGTCAATTCTGATCACATCTATCATTCCTCAATATATTGGCCATAAATAGTTGCTATGTTAAAATCTGCGTTTTCTGTGATGCGTGTTGTACCTTGTATTTAATAAATAATCAAAACAATCTTAGAAATAGTGTAATCCTCAGTCATAACTATCACCTTCTCTGATAAAAAAAATATTACACATACAGACTTTGTCTATCTACTAGATACACATTTATATACTTCTCTTTGTTCTATACTATATATAAGATAAATGACTGACAAACTACCACCCGTTTTACATCAACAATTTCTTCACGAGTTTATTCAGACGGGTTTCTTCAGGATCATCCTGATTATGTTTTGCAGTGTTTACATCAATGAACACATTGATGGATTATCTTACAATACGCAGTGCAACCAACCCGCAAAAAATTCTTGCTGGAAAAAATTTAGGTGTTTATATATTGTGGTTTCGATCTTGAGGCGTATTTCACAAACAGAAACCATCTTGTTGAATAGTGTAGTTTTAACAAAGTTCTATACTTGGATTAAAAAGCTGTGCAATATAATGGGAAGGAAAACAAGACTGGCACCATGGAGTTTGACATCCAACTTCGTAAAAATTAACACAAGTTCTGATTGCGTGAACAAGTCCACGAATTCATAATTTTTTTTTTGACGTCCAATTCCTGATTTATACATTTGAAATTTGGCCATGAATGTAGAAAGCGATGGATCTATTGTTAATGGAAAACGAGTATAACAATCATCAATACCTGCCTAAATTCAAAACTACAAAGTCAGCCAAAATAAAATAAACATGATAAGTTTTTATAGACGATTCAGAAGAGGCTTTCGAAAAGAAAAATATGCGCTGATATGAATATATTATAATGTATATTCCAAAGATATGCTTTTTTCATTCCGTTTTTATAGCATAGTTGATCTATGCTAACTTACCTTAAAGGTTGTGTGGCTGCAAGTGACGGAAAAAATAAGATGTGTATTTTTGTGTAACACATGAACTACAGATCTGTTGTTTCATCATACTTTTGTTGAGCTTTCCGTTTAAGGCAAGTCTGCTTAAACCAAATCATGACAAAAAACTAGTCACTCATTTTAAACAGACTTGGATAGAATGGGCTTGCGCGCATTCCACACATTTTCCCTGATGTGATCTAAGCATAACTATGTATGTGTAGTATTTCCAAGGCAATAAAAATAGGTATATATGTGGCTAAACAAAACTATTTCGAAACAAAATGTCAGATCAAGAACCTTGCTGTTTATATGCTCTAGGACCATACAGACAAGTTAACAGGGTTAATCATAAGAATGTTTTACTGGATAAGACTGCTTTGGAGAATGACATTCTAGCGGCTTATGCACGTACCGTATGTACATTATTTGACTTGACGTAGGTAATGTAAGTTGTAGCTATGGTCACTACAACTCGAATATGAGAACTGTTGTTTTTCTTACTTTTTCGTTTCCGAAAACCTACGAAAAAAAGAGGGTTATCATGGCTCGCATCTTCACGTAAATCTTGTGTTGGATAGCAAAGTTGATACAAATTTTCAGCAACTTCATATGATGATCCCCACAGTTCAAGTATGTTGCAAACCGGTAAAATTTCTTACATATACTTTGGGCATTCCTTACCTGATATATCTAACACTGAGTTTTTGTCCCCTAACTAACGTCACTATATAAATACGGTTCAGTGCAATGCTATAAAAATTTGCTTCATCTAAAAATCTGTACAGATTAGTACGTGTATGGCCGGCTTTAGGGAGGTATACAGATGTGTGCGACCCCAGAGGTCTGTTTGTTACGCTTAAAAATATCTGGGTTCAACATATGAGTACTCATCAATTGTAAAATGGTTGAAGTATGAATAAAAAATTCATGTTTTTCAGTGCTTCTTTTGAACAACAATGCATACCTGATGTATCACATCGAATGTATAAATAGAATGAGAACAAATATTACTTTTAAGATAAGATAAGAATTTAAGCCGAAAACCAGACGGTTTCAAAGGGCACCTAAACCGAGTTCTGCCAGTTGGACAATTTTAAATACCTTTGGGTTTGTGTTGACTCTCAATTAAATTTTAATATTCATTATGAGAAAATTATAAACAAGATCAGTAGTAGAGTTTCTGGATGTCTGAGTTCATATAGAAGAAAAATTATCTACAATACTATCATTCTTCAAAATTTCTTATACTGTTTGATTATTGCATCTAATGCTCAAAAAGTATAATGTATGCTACAAATATGTAATCCCATCAAGAGTTGATTGAATATAATAAATTAAATAAAAGATAAAAGATCAGAGTACTGAAAAAAATTTAAGTAAAATTGAGGAATCACTTGTTAAAAATTATGGCTTGCCCAGCACGAGCATCACAGGTTGAATTTACTAATTCCAAGTTATTTATAATTATTCTCTTTATGTACCCAAACGTGCTAAATAAGTATTTCAACTACTACTACTTTTGTGGTTGCTTGAGCACCCGTTTGAGACGACTCACCGAGTTTAGACAGCAAACTGGCTTTGTGATATATCTTGCATAGTTGATTGAGATTGAGATGATTTGCTTGTGATTTGGATTCGGCTACAAATTGACTCCATGCTTTCATTTGTTCGGATTTGGTTTTTCCTCCAACTTTAATGCTTGCTTGGGTTCAAGATAGGTCTGATCCACTTTGGGACTGCTCTGAAGATTTGTTCTGCAGCTTTTCTTTTTTATATTTTACTCCTGCTTCAACTTCCCTGCAAACTTGTCTATGAATTTTCTCTTGCGTAGACTCTTTTACCTCAGTCTTACTGCTGGCCACGGTTGCAGTTTTCGTTGTGTTTCAGCATCACTGCGAGACTGTTTTCCCGTCTGACGTTTCGACTACAATTGTAGGACGCCTTTATGGAATCCTTGATTTTCATAGTCTGCTACTGTTCCGTGTTAGCGCCCTATATGTCACAAATATCTATTAGCATCAAATTATTATGCTTTTGAGTTACATCATCTGTTTTATCAGCCTGAAATTTCCTACAAAGAAAACATAACTTTATAATAGAAGAGCGCTGACGCTGGCACGGGACAGGTAAAATCTAGAAATTTCTGAACGAGAGAAAAGACTATGACAATCGAGGAGGCCATAAAGACGTCCTACAATTGTAGGAACGACTGACGATATGGCCCTAAGTCGTTCAGAACACAATTATTATTATTTTACATATGTGAAGCCTCAAAAATTCTCAAAGGACCTATAAAGTCGCTAATGTGAATCTCTCACTCTAAGGCTTAGGCCGCACTCCCGTTTTTTTTTCCCGCAAGCGGTATACCACCAAACCGCAAAACCGCACGAGACACACACTACGGTTAAAAACCGCGAAACTGGACACGATTTTCACAGTTTGGAGATGGCTTTCACGAGAGCTGTATATGTTGTTGCTCTAATACTAAGAAGCAGAAAAATAAAACGTCATCACTAATTTCGCAAATATTGGGTCCATCCACTGACTAGCTGAAGATTTAAGAACCTCAAAATGTCCCATTGGATCCGCCTCCTGTGAATGAACTTATATTTTCGTTCAGATTACACGTATCTAGCAACCCCCCAATGTTACCCCCATTTTCAGTTAATTGTTTATTCTTATTATTTGGTTAACTAACTTTTACTGGCACTATGTCTGTTCTAATACAGTTCAGTGTTCCCAATGTCGACCACTGGTAGTTGGTAAGTGAACCATCTAGAGTCAAGTCCAAGCATCATCTACGGAATTTAAGTATCTTTGACTTGCATTGAACTCCGGACACAGGATGACGCTCATCAATAGTTTGTTCAGGCCTTTCTTTGAACTCTTACGCCTTTTTTGAAAGGGGATCATACAGCTTGTAACATTACTTCTGTGGTTAATTAACCAAGTATGAGATTTGAAAGAGGTCCTTCCATGATGCAGAGGACGTGCATAATATTGATAATGACTTATGCATATTTAGTTCTTCATGACGGTGTTCCGAAGAATGACAGTACCGCGCGCGGTTGCCGCAACAAATGTATGCGTGCCAATATAGGTTCTATGAACTATAAATATTGGCGAGGTTTTTTCCCGCAAGCCATTCTGTAACAAGTAGCGGGAAAAAACCGTCAATGCGGCCGCTTTTATTAGTTTAGTCTACTGACAAAATCAGGCGGTTAAAATCCGCGGCGATTTAGCCGTAGTGCGGCCTAAGCCTTAGAATCTGCTTATTGGAATAAAAAAGGGTAACTGCTTTCATGTCAATATGCTGGAGGTGCCTTATCAATGTTTTATTAAGTTAGTGTGATAAGATGAGAGCTTTAGCAATACCTTACGCGTACATCGTAACATGATCTATATCACTGGGAGACAAAGCCATGTCAATGACTTTCCAACGCACATAAGATAGAAGATCATTCGATATTAAATAGAAATGTTCAAAGCAAACGAGTGGTACTAAATTTAAGAGTAATGCAACTCATAAGACTTATTTTTTCACTACTTACCCGAGAATTTGCCTCTTTATTGGCCACGATGCTTATTTAGATTGATAAGCTGCATTTCTCTGTCTACTTTAATGATACTAGACGAAAATACCCCTGGTTTGCGAAATAATTGTAGTCTGGTTTCATTTATGCAAGTTGTTCAAGGGGGTATTTAAATCATGGACGTATAACAAAGAATGAGAAAACCTGTTTTCTGATCCGACGAATAGTAAAAAAGTTATGGCCGAAAACCGAGACAAGATGCAAGTTCTAGCACTTGTTGGTAATGCGACGATAGTTTCACGCAGATACTTGAACTTCTTCTCTTCAGATTCATACTTCTAAATAACGACAACAAAATTGGAATAGATTGGTCAAGTAGTTTTTGAGAATTCCTAATTGTTTATCCCCTTCGTTTGTAGCATAGAAATAACAATATATATATATATATATATACAGGGTGACTTCGAAGTTGAGTCATTTATTTTAACAGTGAGTAGATCTGATCAAAAGAAATGTTTTATTCCTTTACCATTTTTCTGGTAAAATTAAAGTAACAAAGTTATAGCCCTTTGGAAGTTTGAGTACCGCCCTGTCTCAATAATAATATCATGTGCTCGTGTTTGGCAACAACGGATATAATCCGCCTTATCGGTTCATCGCATCGGAAACAAAAAAGTGAAAGAATTTGGAACGATGTTTTTACAATTATTTTATTCAGTTCAGTTATACATACAGTCAGTGTCAGTCGGTAAGGCGTGTGAATAGTGTCTGTTGCGTGGCTCAAACGAAATAAAAATGGCACATGTTTATGCGGATCGGTTTCCCAATCGAGTGCAACCAACCCCTCGTGCCTTTGTTAATGTAGTACAACGGGCTCGTGAATCAGGTGACTTAAAACCTCACAGGGGACCTCACGATCAAATACAGGTCCGCACTGAAATACTTGTCGGGAGGATACTTTATAAAACAAGGTAAACATTTTTTTTTAATTTTTTTTTATTTTTACACACATATTTTGGTTTATCTTCCTTCTACAATCATTATCTGACTGTATACAACTGAATGAAATAATTGTAAAAACATCGTTCCAAATTCTTTCGCTTTCCCTCTAAGATATAGTTGCTTTCGCCAGAAGGGAGAAATCATTAGGACCTCTAAACCTTCTGGAAAAACAGTTACAACTGGGGAAAGTCAAATACCTGGTGGTAATACTAGACTCCAAACTAACCTGGAACCCGCAGATCAAACACTCTCATAGCAAAGCATGGGGATTAAGTCCTTCCATGATGCAGAGGACGTACATAATATTGATAATGACTTATGCATATCTAGTTCTTCATGACGGTGTTCCGAAGAATGACAGTACCGCGCGCGGTTGCCGCAACAAATGTATGCGTGCCAATATAGGTTCTATCAACTATAAATATTGGCGAGGTTTTTTTCCCGCAAGCCATTCTGTAACAAGTCGCGGGAAAAAACCGTCAGTGCGGCCGCTTTCATTAGTTTAGTCTACTGACAAAATCAGGCGGTTAAAATCCGCGGCGATTTAGCCGTAGTGCGGCCTAAGCCTTAGAATCTGCTTATTGGAATAAAAAAGGGTAACTGCTTTCATGTCAATATGCTGGAGGTGCCTTATCAATGTTTTATTAAGTTAGTGTGGGACCTCGGTTGGCCGCGTGGGTCAGAGTGTCGTGCTACTGATCAGCCGGCCGGCCGGGCCGCGAGTTCGAATCTCGCCTTCGCCATGGATGTTGTGTGTTTGTTTTAGGCAGCAGCGGTGGCCGCAGTAGTAGACTCTTCGGTCTCCTGATCAGTCGCCGTGCGCTGTGCGGGTTCGATTCCCGTCTCCAGGAGAAATGTTTCTCTTGGCCATGGATGTTGTGATTGTCCGTAGGTGGTAGATGGTCTCTGACTGTCGAACGCGGAGGTACCACCCGGCGGTTCTCGTAGGCGGAGCCAGAATGTGTGCATGTTGCATGCACACGTGTTCCCTCGCCAGAGTCCGTGTGGCGTCCCCCCTTTCCCATGTATCCCCCATAGCCCCACGGTACCCAATGGGTGCTTAGGCCTCAGGCCTTCGTGGTAGTTGGAGTATAAAAAAAAAAAAAAAAAAAAAAAAAAAAAAAAAAAAAGTGTGATAAGATGAGAGCTTTAGCAATACCTTACGCGTACATCGTAACATGATCTATATCACTGGGAAACAAAGACATGGCAATGACTTTCCAACGCGCATAAGATAGAAGATCATTCGATCATCACTTCATGAGCAAGTGTAAATCATTACACTTAAGATATCAATCTTAGTTAAGGAAAACGCTCCCATAGGTAAGTAACTTTGCGTGACGAATACGTTTTTTAGATATTTGATGTATGCTCTCAAATTTGAACCAATATTTCATATTAGATTTCCCTATACGCATTTTTTAATTGCTGATATTATCGTAATACATATAAAATAAGTTGGGATTTAGACACTAATCGAGTCAATCCTAAGATCACTGGCAGGCCATAGACCACCACCTTACCTCAGGTTACACCCGTATCCGGATGTGTGGCCATGTGTATCTACTTTTGTAGTTTCATATGTGCATTCATTTCGGGCCTGATGAAGCCAACCAGCAGAAATACGTATCGCTCGGGTTACCTATCCTATTTTCTGCTCGAATCCACTTTCCTCCTTTTTGCGGATTTTGCCCATTATTTTCCTACTTGTTGTTATATACCTTTCTCCGCATGATCATATTCTCTTACGTATATATATATATTTCGAAACAGAGAAATACTCAAACAATCGAAATAATGTTTTCGTGTTAACAAAATGAAGATATTTGATCCTTATTCCCCTTGGATGGTCCAGTCCAAACCAAATGCTGGCTGTTGCACAGATTAATTATAATTTTTCAGTTTGACATCCGGTTATAATATGTGACCAGGTAACTAGATATTTTCAAGTATTTGCAAAATATGTTGGAAACGTCATAGTGGTTATGTAAAATCGAATATTTTGTGATAGGGAAGAAAATTCTATTCATACCTCGTTTGAGAAGGCCGTTATTGGTCTCGCTACACGCCCCAGGTTATAGGAGTACTCGCCTAATAATCGCCCACTTCTAGAACATGATATCTAATGTACTTCTAATGTACTATTGGGCGGATTTTTGCAGAAAGGAACCGACCCACTAAATATGCAAAAAACCAAGATTTTAGGAAAATAAACTTTTACGAGCAATACCATTTACTGTAAAAAAGATCCATACATATATTTAAAGCCTTTAGTATGCTATTAATTGAAATCGGGTTTGGTCTGAAATGAATAATTCTTTTTCTGGGTTGGTTCCTTCCTGCAGAAAGCCGTCCAAATCTCCTGACCCATCTCTCAGTGTTGAATAAATAACTTCCGATTTGCAACATTAGCCTTTTACAAAATACAGATCCAAATTTTTCTGTAAAGTTATATCGGTAGTTCCATTTATTATTCAGAGTAAGGGAGATGGCTTATTGAGGCATATAGTCTCATTCGTTGGACTTTAGTGCATTAGTAGGCCTGACCGTTGAGATTACCCTCTTTATTTACGTTTTGATTGGTGTGGGCCCCTATCCTCTACAGTTTCCTTATCCCCTTACTAGCGTCCCCGTCCCTACGCCTATGACTATCCCCCTCGCCACGTCTTAGCTAGTCGGCAAGGGTAAACTCAACAGTCAGGCCTACTCGTATGACACAACCCCAAATATCAATTTTCTTTCCTTCAAGGGGCAAATTGTTCTATTTATACATAATGCTTACCGAATCTATGCGAACCATAGGTTTCGAGAAACAATAATAAGACAACACAGGTTGCAATTCTCAGATCATTTTTATTTTAAGTTCATAAACATGTTTGAAAGAAGTGTATATCATATTGAGGAAATCATATGTATCACACATGAGCAATTATTGGTCTTCACACCATCACACATCCACCCTGGGATTTTATTTGGGCCTCAGATTCTTCATTGGAGATGGACGAACCTTGTGCTCCTCTTTGACAATCTCCTTGTTGTTTTACTTGAGCTTCGAATTTAGCCTGAGCCTGATTCTTTGCTTCGGTTGATCTACTGTTGTTGCTTGGTTCAGATTGGGATTTAGAAGCAGACTCACTCTTAGTTTGACCTCCTTGTAACTTTTCCTGAGATTGGGAACTTGCCTGGCTCTTGGCTTTTGAAGATTCATTGTTGATGGGTGCTTCATACTCTAATGCAGCCTTACTCTTAGATTTACCTCCTTGAAATTTTTCCTGTGATTGAGGCTTTGCCTCACTCTTGGCTTCAGCAGATTCCTTGTTGTGTGCTCCATATTTTGAGTCACTCTTAGTCTTGGATTTACCCCCTTGTGATTTTTCCTGTGATTGAGACTTTGCCTCACTCTTGGCTTCAGCAGATTCCTTGTTGTTGTGGGCTCCATATTTTGATTCAGCCTTACTCTTAGATTTACCTCCTTGTGATTTTTCCTGTGATTGAGACTTTACCTCACTCTTGGCTTCAGTAGATTCCTTGTTGTTCTGGGTTTCATATTTTGATTCAGCCTTACTCTTAAATTTACCTCCCTGTGATTTAGACTTTGCCTCACTCTTGGCTTCAGCAGATTCCTTGTTGTTGTGTGTATTTTGATTCAGCCTTACTCCTAGATTTACCTCCTTCTGATTTTTCCTGTAATTGAGACTTTGCCTCACTCTTGGCTTCAGCAGATTCCTTGTTGTTGCGGGCTTCATACTTTGATTTAGCCTTACCTTTAGATTTACCTCCTTGTGATTTTTCCTGTGATTGAGACTTTGCCTCACTCTTGGCTTCAGTAGATTCCTTGCTGTTGTGGGCTTCATATTTTGATTCAGCCTTACTCTTAGATTTACCTCCTTGTGATTTTTCCTGTGATTGAGACTTTGCCTCGGTCTTAGCTTCAGCATATCCCTTGTTGTGTGCTTTGGATTTAGATTCGGCATGACTCCTTGTCTTGGACTCTGACCTTCCATGAGAATGGGATTTTGAATGGCTGTTAGGTCTAGTAGATTTGTTGCTCCAAGATTTGCATTTTCCATGGTGCCATCTGAGACATTTGCTCTTTTTGTGGCCCTTGGACTTTGAATATCCCTTGCTACCGGTTTTTGATTGAAACTCCGCGTTGCTTTCTATTATGGATGATCCCTTTTACCCTCTTTTTAGTTCAGAATCGCTCTTAGATTCAGAATTCTTCGATGAAGAGCTAGAGCTAGAGATTGCTTTAGATACCGCCATGGCTATGGAACTATCTCCAGAGCGAGCCTTAGAATCAGAACCAGATACTCGAATTGCACTAGCTTTGGAACCGGCACCAGATACTGCTTTCGTCAGAGAATCACCTCCAGAAGTCACCTTTGTGATGGAACCAGCACCAGAAATCGCCTGTGTCAGAGAACCAGCTGCGGAGCTACCCTTCCCAGAGATTACCTCGGTTATAGAACTGGCTGATGTTCCTGCCCCAGCTAATTGAGAAAGTCCTGAACCACATCTTGAGCTACCAGATTCTGATTCTGATCTGCCTAAGCTTTCAGATTCTGGATAATAAGGAAAAATATCAGTTACAAAAAGTGAAGAACGTTTTTATCATAATATACGTAACGTTATACAGACGTTGGAGCAAAATTTACTTCTCCTGGTTCAATCCATTAATATATTTGCCTTTTAATCAAATAATATACGAGACAGATTTGAACTATTACTTCCAAAACAGAAATTAGATTATTCACAGGTATGCTGATCTTTGAGCTGTCCCAAACAAGACGATGATCGCACTGTTGAAAAAATGACCCCGTTAGAGTTTTCCAAAGCCGTCTTCAGAGAGATTACGATCTGCGATCAGAGTGAATAAAACAAAACAGTTTCTCCTATTGATCATTTTCAAATTCACAAAATGCAAAAATTGACATTTATGCTCAAACAAAATATTACTAATCTTCATGCCGCTAAGTGTCCGAAGTAACATTCTAGCATTTCGCTATAAAATCCCTATGCAAAATTTGAGCTCATTTTAACATTAAACTTAGTCTTTCAGTTGTTAATAATTATATGCTTATCAACAAGGTGAGGATTTGATGCTACATGAGGGGCTTATGCGAAGAATGGTCAGACTTTATTTGATAAAGCAGTATTTCCTGCTCCAGAGATGTTTCTTTGGAATCAGACCGGAAGGACATTCTGTGGCTTCGCCTCAACTCCAAAACATCACCCAAATTTATTTGCTGCCTTTATCGCTCTCCCTCGGACCATAACTGGGATGACCTACTCGAATACCTCGCCGTCCAGATCGACTTCCTGAACATCAATCATCCCGCTTCAGAGGTAGTTCTTCTCGGTGATTTCAATGCCCATAATGAGCTTTGGTTGGGCTCAAACAAGACCGACGCAGCAGGTCGTGCAGTCAAAGCGTTCGCTCTTACCCAAGGGCTGACTCAGCTGGTGACCAGCCCTACTTTTCTCCCCCGCATCTCTTCATGCACCAGTAGCCTGCTGCACCTGTTTCTGACCACGCATCCTGTCCCTTACAGCACTGCTGTCCTGTCCCCCCTGGGTAACTCAGACCACGGTGTTGTGGAGGTTAGGTTTCGGTCACAACCCGCTGTGGCAGCAGAAGCTCGCAAAATTTGGCATTACGGACATGCCCACTGGGAGGGGTTCAGCGATTTCTTCTCTAGCTTTCCTTGGAAAGATGTCTGTTTCACTGACGCGGATGCGTCGGCTGTCTCTTCTTCGATAACCGAAATTATCCACGTCGGAATGGAGGAATACATCCCTCACACAGTGAAAGTGCCTAGACCAGGGTCCAACGGCTGGTTTAACAAATCGTGTGACGCTGCTCGCCAGCAGAAGATCAAGGCACACAGAACCTTCTTACAAAACCCCACTGTAGAGAAAAGGCAAGCCGGCGTTGAGTCCAGAAACAAATATAAAGCAGCGGTTCGCAATGCCAGAAACCAGCACGATATAAAAGTTAGGCACAGGGTAATGTCGCAGCGCAATGGCAGTCGGTCTTTCTGGACGCTGGCCAAGCAGATTGAAAAGATCTTCTCACACAGTAGCCTTCCACCACTTACGTGTCAGGATGGAACTATTGTATTCAACTCAAAGGCCAAGGCGGAAGTGCTAGCCAAGATCTTTGCTGCCAACTCCACCATGGACGTTCCCCCCCCAAACGCCCAAGTGTCGTCAATTCAAAGGGTTCCCTACACTATGCGGGAGGTAACATTCAGGCATAAGACGAGTGCTCTTGTCGCTCGACATCGACAAAGCTTCTGGTCCGGACTTATGAATCCGGCACCTTCCCAGAAAACTGGAAATTTGCTCATGTCCAACCCATCCCAAAAAAGGGATCTAAGACCGACCCTTACAACTACAGGCCTATAGCTCTGCTTTCTGTTTTAAGTAAGGTGATGGAGAGGTGCATAAATCTCGAGCTTCTGGACTACCTCGAACGTCACGGCTTGATTAGCGACAGGCAGTATGGTTTCCGGCACCAACGATCCACAGGGGACCTCGTAGCTTACGTCACTTAGTTGTGGAGTAAACTCATCTAGTCTTGGCGGTGCTGCCGCCCCGACTACATTATCCATGCTCGATGCTGTCCAGACTAGGGCGGTCCGACTGATCGATGACTCTTGTCTAACAGACAGTCTCGGGACTCTTTCGCACCGGCGAGCTGTCGGCGATCTAGCTCTTTTCTACCATTACACCAACGGGCTTCGCTCCTCAGAGCTCTCTTCCATGATGCCGCCGCGCGATGTGTCTGCCAGACAGACCCGCCTGACTTTGGCGTCCCATCCTAACCGTGTCGAACTTCGTACATCCAGAACCGGCTGATACAAGAGGAAGCTTTTCCCAGTTCTATTAATCTTAGGCAGTTTAAAAATCGTATTAATGAAATTTCTTTGGGATCATCATAGCAGACGCGGTGTTCCGGCATTCAGGCTTCTGCCTGCGCGGCTGCTTCGATATAAAAAAAGGTCATCTTAAAATATTGTTAAAAATTAAGAACCAAATGAATCGGTTAAAACTGCTTTTAACTGTCTCAAGATATTCTCAGCACTCAAATGGAACTTCTCCCTTTACTCTGAAGTTGGTAATGCTCATAAAACGAACTTTTTAATTAATCGATACGTGCAGTTGCATCTTTAGCATTTTGCTTCAATGTATCACTACTAAAATCGTTATATTAAATAACTTGCCTTAAGTAAAGTATGTGCACAACAACGGTTATAATTTACAACACCTTTTTATTAACACGATTTTTTGGCGGGCTCAATTTTAGATTACTGCCCTCCTCATTTATGCATGCCGACGCCATGGTGTAGCATAAAAGTAAATGTCGTTTTTGCGACAAATGATTTCAAAGGCTGGAAATGAGTTGCCAGTATGAGATAGTTTATATGGTATTCGTGGTCTGCCGTTTTCGAAAATGAAAATATCGTTTCATTACCTGCAAACGCCAGAAAAAATTAAATTTCATAGCTGCTCATGTAAACAGCAATTTTGTTGAAGGGCAACTGATGTAGCAATAACTTTCTCGCTCTAAACATGAACCATAGGTCCCGACCTAGAATATTGTCTACAATCAGTGGCGGATTTAGAGCGGCGCGCGTGAAGCCGCGCGCCCCCCCTAGACGTCCGACTCTTGCTTTTTTAATCTAACACCATTGTGTTGCTTTCTGACACATCATGGCGACAGAGGCATACTAACTATAACTTATAGCTATAGGAACTGAACTTTGCGATTTTTCGGTATCCTTTGGTATTCCAAGCACTGTCCCTCTTCGACATCACTTACGTTTACAGCACAATTCTTACGATTTATACGTATATATACGAGTATTGTGACTTGTAGCAAATCTAAGTCTAAGCAATATATTAGCTATACAGTTTGCACTTAAAAAGTGATTTATGTTTTGTTTGTTGCTCAATAGTAATATGAAAAGTGTGTAAATCTTGACTGTTCGAGGTTGGTGTTGTAGCGACGCACTATTAGTCTAATCATATTAGACGAAAATACCCTTGGTTAGCGAAATAATTCTTAAGTCTGGTTTTAGTGCTGCAATTTGCTCAAGTGGTTATTCAAAACATGGACGCATACTCGTAAGGTGGGTACACCAATTTTTGTGGGAAAACTTTTTATTCGACAACAAAGAATGAGAAAACGTGTTTTCTGGGATTCAATCGAAATAATTGGCAGTAACGAACAAACTCTCCTAATAAGATTTTTAAGTATTTATGAGACCTACAAAATGAGACCACACGTAAAAACTAAAAGCAAAAAAGTTATGGCCGGAAACCGAAGCAAACTGCAGGTTTTGGCACGTGTTCGTTATGCGAGAACGCAGATATTTGAAATTCTTCAAATTCGTAGGATTCGTACTCCTAAATAACTACAACAAAATTTTAGTAGAATGGTCGAGTAGTTTTTGAGAATTTCTAATTGTTTATCTCAAAACATCTGTCTTCAGGCCATCACTACTAGTTTATTGAGCAATATATGTATAGGGTTAGTTCAAGGGCATTTTATAGCAAATTACACTAGTTTACCTTGCCGATATGAATCGCAAACTATTCCGGAAGATAAATGTTATTTTTATGTTTTCCAAAGATTTCCAACATTTTTAAATGCGATCAACACCGATTCGAAAACTGAGAAAACAACAACTATGCCGTAAATCTAAGTTCGACAACAAAAGTCTGAGGAATAACTGTAAAATCTATAATATTGAATTTCAAAAAATAATTGACTATACCTATTGATATTTTTATCACCTGCTGATATAATAGAAGTGCTTGATTGTGTCAGTATTTACACCAAATGCTTGATTTGTTTAACAGGTAGTTCAGAGTATTAATCCTAAAGCTTAGTACACACTAGTAGACCCCGTTGCGCAATTTGTCTATAGGCAGTCTGGAGACGGTCTCAAGACACGATCTATAGATGGTCTATAGTCATCCTTCTTTGTCTCATCTAGCGTCCATACGATAATGTAAATTTTTCGGTCTCATGTTCGTTTTCGCCATCAAAGACATTGTTTTGTGTGGAATGGCTGGGATGTCTCGGGGTCCCTCAAAATGTTTTTTTCTGGTTAACAGAACAATTAAGTTTTTTATGTTTTCATCTTGAATATTATTACACTAGTTAATTATAAATGCCACGTACTTATTCAGTTCTCATATAATAAAATATTGCCTTTCTGAGGATTTCTGAGCTCTTTCCATTTTTTTTTTCATGGTGGATGGAACACAATGGATTTAACGGGCAATAATAGGATAAATTCTAGAAGTTTCACTGAGGTAGAGAACTTACCAGCCCCAAATACCGTTTGCGCCCCCCCCCCTAGACGAATTCCTGAATCCGCCTTTGTCTACATTCTGGGGTGCTGCTACAGGGTATGTATGTACCATAAATGTAACAGACGATTCTTTGAGTAATTTTAAGACAAGTTTTTATACAAACATGTTCTT